ATGGTCTGTTCTGTGTAGTGCTGACTGTATGGTCTGTTCTGTGTAGTGCTGACTGTATGGTCTGTTCTGTGTATTGCTGACTGTATGGTCTGTTCTGTGTAGTGCTGACTGTATGGTCTGTTCTGTGGTCTGTTCTGTGTAGTGCTGACTGTATGGTCTGTTCTGTGTAGTGCTGACTGTATGGTTCTGTTCGTGTAGTGTGACTGTATGGTCTGTTCTGTGTAGTGCTGACTGTATGGTCTGTTCTGTGTAGTGCTGACTGTATGGTCTGTTCTGTGTAGTGCTGACTGTATGGTCTGTTCTGTGTAGTGCTGACTGTATGGTCTGTTCTGTGTAGTGCTGACTGTATGGTCTGTTTGTGTAGTGCTGACTGTATGGTCTGTTCTGTGTAGTGCTGACTGTATGGTCTGTTCTGTGTAGTGCTGACTGTATGGTCTGTTCTGTGAGTGCTGACTGTATGGTCTGTTCTGTGGTAGTGCTGAATGTATGGTCTGTTCTGTGGTTGTAGTGCTGACTGTATGGTCTTTTGTGAGTGCTGACTGTATGGTCTGTTCTGGTAGTGCTGACGTATGGTCTTTCGGTGTAGTGCTGGACTGTGTGGGTCTGTTATGTGTGTAGATGAGACTGAGTGAGAGAGGTGGTCAGTAGTGTCAGGTGTGTAGGCGTGACTCGGTTGAGGGAGGGATCTGTTTGTGTAGGCTGACTGTATGGTCTGTTTGTGTTCGGCGCTGAGCGTAGGTCAAGTGCTGTGGTAGTGCTGACTTATCGGTCAGTTTCTCTGTTACGTCGTCTCTTCTGGGTCTGTTCCCCCTCTGTTGTAGGTGCTGAAATGTAGGTTGATGATGGTATCTGATCCCTGTGGTGGAGGTGTGTTGAGTGCGAAGCTTCGTTTCTCAGTAGGCTTGATGCTACGGCTGTGGTGTCTCGCACACTTGATTCGAATCGTCTCTCGCTGTCCGAGTCTGATCAGGAGGGATGTGGGTCGTCAACACCCTCTTCTATCTCCGCGCTCATCTGATCTCCTCTCTAGGTTGTCTCCCACCATTCTCTCAATGCGGTTGTCCCCCACCCCCTTACTCTACTACTTCTCTCTTATCTCTCTGGCGTCTATCTCTCTTATCTCTCCGCTCTCCTCTCTCTATCTTCTCCCCCCCTCTCTCTCTCTCCTCTCTCTCTCTCTCTCTCTCGTCTCTGTCTGTCTCCCCACTCTTATCTCTCTCTCTCTTTCTATCAATGTTCATTGTAGTGATTATTACAATGTAACTTTGTGTTTTTCTTTGATCTATTTCAGAGTGGCAGGAGAAATGTTGACCTGGACCTGGCGTTTTCTCATAAAAAGAGAGGTAAGGAATAATTACTGTACATCAATAACTGCATTAGATGATACTAACCAGTAATGCTCTATGATACCCCTCTACTTCAGTGTAAATGTGTCTTCCTGTCTTCTGATTTCTGTATGGTAGCGTATTTGCTCCTCTTGGGGCAGTTGAGCCCCAAAAACAAGAGGAGCTCCAAGCAAGTACACCATGGCATGTTTAAACTTCCTCCTCTTCTTAAAGCCAGCTCAACTCTCCATGACTGTAATGCCCATTCATTCCCAGTTGGATGACCCAGTAATGGCTAGCATGAGTAAAGCTCAGTTCATCATGTTTCTTCTCCTGAAGCAGCAGGTAGCTAGCCTGGGTCAGTTATGCCAGATATGTCTCTGCTCTCTTGCCGACTTCTTTGGTGTCAGTTGGTTTGGTAAGACAGCACAAACAGACTGGGACTCAGGCTAGCAGGTAGCTGCTGTAGCACCATGCAGACGGTACCCTACGGGCCCTGGCCCGGGTCAGAAGGAGTGTGCTATAAAGGGAATAGGGTACCATTTCAGACACAGCCTTGGCCTCTGCTTACCATTTCAGACACAGCCTTGGCCTTGGCCTCTGCTTACCATTTCAGACACAGCCTTGGCCTTGGCCTCTGCTTACCATTTCAGACACAGCCTTGGCTTGGCCTCTGCTTACCATTTCAGACACAGCCTTGGCCTCTGCTTACCATTTCAGACACAGCCTTGGCCTCTGCTTACCATTCAGACACAGCCTTGGCCTTGGCCTCTGCTTACCATTTCAGACACAGCCTTGGCCTTGGCCTCTGCTTACCATTTCAGACACAGCCTTGGCCTTGGCCTCTGCTTACCATTTCAGACACAGCCTTGGCCTTGGCCTCTGCTTACCATTTCAGACCAGCCTTGGTTCTCGCTACCATTTCAGACACAGCCTTGGCCTTGGCCTTGCTTACCATTTCAGACACAGCCTTGGCTGGCCTCTGCTTACCATTTCAGACACAGCCTTGGCCTTGGCTCTGCTTACCATTTCAGACACAGCCTTGGCCTTGGCCTCTGCTTACCTTTTCAGACACAGCCTGGCCTTGGCCTTGTACCATTTCAGACACAGCCTTGGCCTTGGCCTCTGCTTACCATTTCAGACACAGCCTTGGCCTTGGCCTCTGCTTACCATTCAGACACAGCCTGGCTTGGCCTCTGTTTACCATTTCAGACACAGCCTTGGCTTGGCCTCTGCTTACCATTTCAGACACAGCCTGGCCTTGGCCTCTGCTTACCATTTCAGACACAGCCCTTGGCCTCTGCTTACCATTTCAGACACAGCCTTGGCCTGGTACCATTCAGACACACCTTGGCCTCCTCTTACCATTTCAGACACAGCCTTGGCCTTGGCCTGTTTTACCATTTCAGACACAGCCTTGGCCTTGGCCTCTGCTTACCATTTCAGACACAGCCTTGGCCTCTGCTTACCATTTCAGACACAGCCTTGGCCTTGGCCTCTGCTTACCATTTCAGACACAGCTTGGCCTTGGCCTCTGCTTACCATTTCAGACACAGCCTTGGCCTTCCCCTTACCATTTCAGACACAGCCCTTGGGGCCTTGGCCTCTGCTTACCATTTCAGACACAGCCTTTGGGCCCTTTGGGCCCTTTGCTTACCATTTCAGACACAGCCTTGGCCTTGCCTTGCTTACCATTTCAGACACAGCCTTGGCCTTGGCCTCTGCTTACCATTTCAGACACAGCCTTGGCCTTGGCCTCTGCTTACATTTCAGGCACAGCCTTGGCCTTGGCCTCTGCTACCATTTCAGACACAGCCTTGGCTTGGCCTCTGCTTACCATTCAGACACAGCCTGGTTGGCCTCTGCTTACCATTTCAGACACAGCCTTGGCCTCTGCTTACCATTTCAGACACAGCCTTGGCCTTGGCCTCTGCTTACCATTTCAGACACAGCCTTGGCCTTGGCCTCTGCTTACCATTTCAGACACAGCCTTGGCCTTGGCCTCTGCTTACCATTTCAGACACAGCCTTGGCCTTGGCTTCTACCATTTCAGACACAGCCTTGGCCTTGGCCTCTGCTTACCATTTCAGACACAGCCTTGGCCTCTGCTTACCATTTCAGACACAGCCTTGGCCTTGGCCTCTGCTTACCATTTCAGACACAGCCTTGGCCTTGGCCTCTGCTTACCATTTCAGACACAGCCTTGGCCTCTGCTTACCATTTCAGACACAGCCTTGGCCTTGGCCTCTGCTTACCATTTCAGTTTCCCCTGCAGCATCCCTCGTCATCATCTGATCGGGGAAGGGAACAACGTACGCACACTGTATTTTTCATGGCTGATCAAGGCTCATGGCATGTAGTACGAGAACCAGCCGTGGAATGAAACCAAGCAGAGAGACATGGATTGAATTGAATGTGAATTGACATACGTAGTCTATAACAGCTAGCTTACATCTGCTACAATAGCACCCACTAGGCCTTAAAGTGAAGCACATTGGATGAGGTGGATGCCATCACATCCACCTATATGGAAATAGTAGTTGTGTTTCTGAAAAGGTATCTGGCCTGGTCTCTCTCTGTCTCGGTCTCTGTCTGTCTGTCTGTCTCTGTCTCTCTCTCCATCTCTCTCCATCTCTCTCTTTCCTCTCTCCTCTCCTCCCTCAGGTCTACTCCACAGTTCTCCAGACTCTCTGGCTGACTCGTGGTTCAGGGTGAAACACAGTAGGGACCAGCTGTACGGTTCTCCCGTCTACCAATCCTATGAGGAGTCGGACCTGGACCTGAGCCACTCGCTGGGGGTTCACGCCCTCATAGAGAACATCGTCAGCTTCATCAGTGGAGACGTGGGAAACACCCCCGCCTTCAAGGAGCCTGAGGAGAGCATGTCTACTAGTCCACAAGGAACCATCCTGGCTATGGAGCAACAGCAGAACAGGGCTGAGGTAAGAACCATCCTGGCTATGGAGCAACAGCAGAAACAGGGCTGAGGTGAGAACCATCCTGGCTATGGAGCAACAGCAGAAACAGGGCTGAGGTGAGAACCATCCTGGCTATGGAGCAACAGCAGAACAGGGCTGAGGTGAGAACCATCCTGGCTATGGAGCAACAGCAGAACAGGGCTGAGGTGAGAACCATCCTGGCTATGGAGCAACAGCAGAACAGGGCTGAGGTAAGAACCATCCTGGCTATGGAGCAACAGCAGAACAGGGCTGAGGTGAGAACCATCCTGGCTATGGACACAGCAGAAGGGCTGAGTGAGAACCATCCTGGTATGGAGCAACAGCAGAACGGCTGAGGTGAGAACCATCCTGCTTGGACAATGCCAAACAGGGCTGAGGTGAGACCATCCGGCTTGGAGCAAACAAGACCCGGGCTGAGAGAACCATCCTGGCTATGGACCACCAGAACAGGCTATGAGCAGGGTGGAGCAAAAGTGAACCTAGTGGCCATTGGCTATGGAGTCAAGCAGGGCTGAGGTAAAATCTGATTTAAGCACAAGAACGATGTGAGGTGGGACCTCCTGGCTATGGAGCCAACAGACGGGCTGAGGTGAACCTCCTGGCTATGGAGAAGAGTAACCCGGGCTGAGGTGGAACTCCTGGCTCATGGAGCAAGAGAACCAGGCTGAGGTGAGAACCATCCTCTCTTGACACCTGACAGGTGTAACATCCTGGCATGGAGCTCGCGAACAGGGATGTGGGCACCGGGGAGGACAGCAGAAAGAGAGAGGTGACAAACATCCAGGTATGGAGGGACAGGGGAGGTGGGAATCTTTTGGGCACGCAAGGGCTGAGGGGGGACTGGCACAGGTTATGACGGGCCCCAGAATAAAGTTGTCAACGTGGGTCCTTGAAGCACGTAGCGAATATGGCTCCAACACTGCATTTCAATAAGTACCATAGAAACTCCTATATTCTTCATCTCGCTAATGGAGCGTTCAGTAGATGAACTAATGGATAGTATTGAGTATATGACTGTAATCTGATTTAATTCTAGAACTGATGTGTGTGTGTTTTCTCCAGCTGCGTCTGGAGGCCCTACACCAGATCGTGGCGCTGATCTCTGGGATGGAGGAGAAGAGTAACCAGGGGGCGGGGGTGGGGGGGGGGGGGGTTTGGGGTTTTAGCGGTCCAGGGGGTCGACCCAGCCCTGCGTCCCTTCCAGCCTCCTCCCTCGCCCTTGTGGGGTTACATTTCCCGGGCGGATTTTTTGGGTTTTAGGGACGGGTGGGAAACCGGGGGACTAAAAAGGGGGAGATGCCCAGTTACCCCCAAATCCCAAGGTATGGGGGGAAAACTGGGGAGAGGGGGGTTTAGAAGGGGGGACCTTTGGGCACATTTGGGTCTTAAAAATGGGGGGACCGGGGGGCACAGTGGGTTTAGAAAAATGGGGGGGCCGTGGGCAAGGGGGGGTCTTAGAATGGGGGGCCCGGGGCAAGTGGGTCTTAAAAGGGGGGGGGACCGTGGGAAAACAGGGGTTTTTTAAAATGGGGGGGCCCGTGGGCACAGGGGGTTTTGAAGGGGGGGGACCGTGGGCACAGTGGGTCTTAAAGGAAGGGGGGGGGGACCGGGGGGAAAGGGGTCTTAAAATTTGGGGGGGACCTTGGGCAAGGGGTTTTAAAAGGGGGGGGGCCCGTGGGCCCAGGGGGTTTTAAAATGGGGGGGGGGGGCCCGGGGGAAAGGGGTTTTAGAATGGGGGGCCGTGGGCACGGGGGGTTTAGAATGGGGGGGACCTTTGGGCACAGGGGGGGTCTTAGAGGGGGGGACCGGGGGGGCCACAGTGGGTTTTAAAAGGGGGGGGCCCTTTGGGCCACAGTGGGTTTTAGAATTTGGGGGGACCGGGGCACAGTGGGTTTAGAAGGGGGGGGGAACTTTTGGGCACGGGGGGTTTGAGAAGGGGGGGCCCGTGGGCACAGGGGTCTTGAAGGGGGGGGCCCGGGGGCCACAGTGGGTTTGGGAAGGGGGGACCGTGGGCACAGTGGGTCTTAGAATGGGGGGACCGTGGGCACAGTGGGTCTTAGAATGGGGGGCCCTTTGGGCAAAAGGGGGTCTTAAAATTGGGGGGGAGGGGGGCACAGGGGTTTTAGAATGGGGGGCCCGTGGGACAGGGGGGTTCTTGAAGGGGGGGGGTTGGGGGGGTTTGTTGATTTTGGGTTAAGGACAGGATGGTCGGGCGTCCCCATAATGCTTTTGGTTTCAGGACAGGACTGTGGGGTCTGTCCCCATAATGATGTTGTGTTGGTTCAGGACGGGATCAGTCTGTCTCATAATGATGATGTGGTGGTTCAGGACAGGATCAGTCTGTCTCATAATGATGAGGGGTTTTGGTTTCGGGGACAGGATCGGGCTTTTCGTAATGAGGATGTTTTGGGTTTCCCGGGCCCGGATCAGCCGGTTCATAAGGAGGGAATGTTTTGGGGTCGGAGGGGGTTTTTAAAAGCAGAGAAGGGGGGGGCCTGCAGATGGACTTTCCAGAAAAGGGGTTCAAAAAGTTTAAAGGCCGTGTCAGGCATTTGGGAGAGGCCCTGAAAGGAAACAAAAATAACATGGGGAAAACTCAAAATTTTAAAAAAAGCGGTTTCCCCTATTGGGGAAGGGAAAAAAAAGGGGGGGTCCCGGAAAGGGACGGGGAAAAGGGTAAAGCGAAGAGGAGAGAAGGGGAGAGGAAGAGAGCGAAAAGGGAGGCGAGGAGAAGAAAAAGAGGGGAAGGAGGGAAAAAGAGGAAAAAAGGGGAGGAAAAAGGGGGAGGGAGGGAAAAGGGAGGGAGGAGGGAGTGAGGGGAGGGAGGGGCGGGGGGCGCAAAATGGGGGCGCCGGGAGGGGAAAAAAAATTTAAGGGAAAAACGGGGGCCCAAAAGGCAAAAAAGAAAAAGGGGGAAAAGTCAAAAGAAGGGGAAAAAAAGGGGGGGAAGACGGGGAGAAAAAGTAAGTATCTAGAGATTTATTGAGAAAAGATGTATTCAAAAAGGGGGGGGAAGGGAAATGGGTAGAAAAAAAAAAGAGAAGAATAGAAAAAGTTTGGTTTTAAAGATTAAATTTTGGTTTAAAAATTCTTTTTCTATTAAATAATCTTTTTTCCCTTATTATCGGTTAGTAAACTCTCCTCTCCTCTATCCTTTTCTCTCTCTCTCTTCTCTTCTTTTTTAGGTAAAAATTTTCTACCTTTTCTCCCCCTTTCTCTTTTCCTCCCCTTGTCCCTCTCTCTCCTCTCTTTTTTCTTTTCCTTTTTATTTTGGTATCCAACGTCTTACCTTCTTTTTCTCTCCCGCCCCTCTTTACAGAGGCCCAGCAGCGCCTCCTGCTGGTGACAGTGTTTGCCCTGAGCGTGCGTTACCAGCCCGTGGACGTGTCCCTGGCCATATCCAGTGGCCTGCTCAATGTGCTGTCACAGCTGTGTGGTACAGAAACCATGCTGGGGCAACCACTACAGCTGCTTCAGAAACCAGGGGTGTCCCAGCTCAGCACTGCCCTGAAGGTGGCCTCCACACGACTACTGCAGATACTGTCCATCAGCACCGGGTGAGACAGGGCTCTCTGCGTTAACACACTGTTGATAAATGTTACGTATCTGTGTCATCAAATGTGTCGTATCTGGTTTATCTATAGGACCGGTTTCCCGGGTCAAGCCCTATTCCTGGACTGAAAAGGACTTTCAACTGAGATTGTCCTTTGAGCATTTTTCTTAGTTCATTAGTAGGCTCAATCTTGAAACCTACCCAGAAAGATTGTTGTTACTGGTCTCTGTATCGACAAGCTTTCCATGCTGTGTGACTGACTTATCTCCGTGTCTCCAGGACGTATGCAGACAAGCTGGGACCCAAGGTGGTCCAGTCCCTGTTGGACCTGCTGTGTAGCCAGCTGAAGAACCTTCTCTCCCAGGCAGGGGTCAGCCTGCTCGCTGCCTCCCCGGGGAAGAACCAGGAGAACCAGGACAAGAAGTCAGAGGATGGAGCCGACCCAGAGAAGACAGACTTCAGAGGTAGGAGAGATCTGCGTGGTAGTAGAGCATTCACGCTGGGGCCACCCGTATGTAAAATGTATTCATGCATGACTGTAAGTCGCTTTGGATAAAAGTGTCTGCTAAATGCCATATATAATACTATTATTAAATGATGATTTATATATTAGGAGGAGGATTGTCTACCATAATGTGTTATAGTGATGGATAGGTTGCTAATGATTTGGCTGACTAGAATCAGTTGATTTGGCTCGCTAGTTTTTTTAATAGATTTTGGGGGTATTGGGGGAACTTCTGAAGTATTGTCAATACAGATGGTAATGGTGAAGGTGCGTAAAGATGGCCATTCAGACAGGAAGTCATTGTTTTAGCGCCATCCACTGAGTTTGTATGTTACGGCGAGCGATATGGTTCAATGTGTCAGCACAATCTACTTTTTGGGGGTTTTCAAATTGCCGGCGTCTTGGAGCTAGACTTGGGATCATGTATACTCTGCTAATGACCACACAAAAACAGAGTAACGGAGAGCGATGTACAATACGGAGAACATAGCAAAACAAGAAATTAGTGGAAAGTGCATGTGGGGCGCCATCTTTATGCACCTCTGCTATTGACTGGGTTGATAGATCATTCTCTTCATGTTGAATGTGAGCCTTTGGTTCCACTTGGAGCTAAAACGTACAGTAAGTCACGAATAAAGGGTTCTTCACCGTGCTGTGTTGTTGTGTTCCATAGTGTTGGAGTGGAAACAGCACCCTGTAGAGCTTCACTCTGTAATATGGTGTTGTTGTAGTGGAAACAGCACCCTGTAGAGCTGCACTCTGTAATATGGTGTTGTTGTAGTGGAAACAGCACCCTGTAGAGCTTCACTCTGTAATATGGTGTTGTTGTTGTTGTGTTCCATAGTGTTGTAGTGGAAACAGCACCCTGTAGAGCTTCACTCTGTAATATGGTGTTGTTGGAGTGGAAACAGCACCCTGTAGCGCTTCACTCTGTAATATGGTGTTGTTGGAGTGGAAACAGCACCCTGTAGCGCTTCACTCTGTAATATGGTGTTGTTGTAGTGGAAACAGCACCCTGTAGAGCTTCACTCTGTAATATGTTGTTGTTGTAGTGGAAACAGCACCCTGTAGAGCTTCACTCTGTAATATGGTGTTGTTGGAGTGGAAACAGCACCCTGTAGAGCTTCACTCTGTAACATGTTGTTGTTGTTGTGTTCCATAGTGTTGGAGTGGAAACAGCACCCTGTAGCGCTGCACTCTGTAATATGGTGTTGTTGTAGTGGAAACAGCACCCTGTAGAGCTTCACTCTATAATATGTTGTTGTGTTGCGTAGTGTTGTAGTGGAAACAGCACCCTGTAGAGCTTCACTCTGTAACATGTTGTTGTTGTTGTTGTTGATGTGTTGGAGTGGAAACAGCACCCTGTAGCGCTTCACTCTGTAACATGTTGTTGTTGTTGTTGTTGATGTGTTGGAGTGGAAACAGCACCCTGTAGAGCTTCACTCTGTAATATGTTGTTGTTGTTGATGTGTTGTAGTGGAAACAGCACCCTGTAGAGCTTCACTCTGTAATATGTTGTTGTTGTTGTTGTGTTCCATAGCGTTGGTGCGTAAGCAGCATACAGCAGAGCTTCACCTGGGAGACTTCCTGGTGTTCCTGAGACGAGTGGTCTCCTCCAAGGCCATCCAATCCAAGATGTCTTCCCCAAAGTGGACAGAGGTGCTGCTCAATATCGCGGCACAGAAATGCTGCTCAGGTACCGTCCAATAAACTGTGTTTGTACATTAAAATAGATGATGCTAAATCACTAGTCTGTACCCTATAAGTGTAGATGTTTATTTGCATAGACTTGAACATAGCCTAGATATGCACCGCCGCCTCCAACCTTTTAATATCATTCCTGACCGACATCAGGACAGAAGTAAGGAGCACAAGGCCTCCATTTTCGCCAATGTCCTCCGTTCAGTATGTTATTTGTCAAAGCTCAGGTCAAACGGATGAAGGTGTTGGTGTATGTTAATAAAGTCTTAGCCCGTACATTAAATGTTTTTTAAACTTTCAAACCCACACGAGTGCCTGGCTTTGGATTTGTTATGCCCCTTAGAACCTATTTGCGTTCATTTTTCCTTTTGCTTTTCAATGACTAGTGTTATTGTTGTTTGTCTGTAGGAGTCCCTCTGGTGGGCAACCTGAGAACTCGTCTCCTGGCCCTTCACGTTCTAGAGGCTGTGCTGCCTGCCTGCGAGGCCAGTGTAGAGGGCGACCAGATGACACAGGTACTGCAGCTGTACGCAGAGTGAAGCCTCGCAAAAACTGATCAACTGAGTGACTATTCAGGTCCCGATAACAGGATTGGATCATGTAACTGATAAAGGCGTGTGTTCCACCTCTAGGTGGTGGAGCGTCTCTTCTCCCTGCTGTCTGACTGTATGTGGGACGCTCCCATCGCCCAGGCCAAGCACACCATCCAGATGGAAGAGAAAGAGAAGGAGCTCAAACTACAGGTACAGGTTAACTCATAATACACTCTCTATCACTGCTACATCACTGCTTCTTCTTCTTCTTCTTCTTCTTCTTCTTCTTCTTCTTCTTCTTCTTCTGCTTCTTCTTCTTTGTTGTCTTCTTCTTCTTCTTCTTCTTCTTCTTCTTCGTTGTCTTCTTCTTCTTCTTCTTCTTCTTCTTCTTCTTCTTCTTCTTCGTTGTCTTCTTTGTTGTCTTCTTCTTCTTCTTCGTTGTCTTCTTCGTTGTCTTCTTCTTCTTCTTCTGCTTCTTCTTCTTCTTTTCTGCTTCTTTCTTCTTCTTCTTCTTCTTCTTCTTCTTCTGATTCGTCTATCTGTCCCATCCCCAGGGTGAGGAGGAGGATGAGAACCTGCCTATCCAGGAGGTGTCGTTTGACCCGGAGAAGACTCAGTGTTGTGTGGTGGAGAATGGCCAGGGTCTGACCCACGGCAACGGGGGGAAGGGATATGGACTGGCCTCTACCGGCATCTCCTCTGGATGTTACCAGTGGAAGGTACAGTACATCTCCTCTGGGTGCTACCAGTGGAAGGGACAGTACATCTACACTCTTACACAACACTGGTACCAAGACCTTTAGGTGAGACAATGGCCAGACTCCTTACTGAATGAGTAGGTCTAAAGGAAGAAGACATGTTAAACATTGAAGGAAGACTGAAGCAGATAAACAGCAGATAAACAGCAGATAAACAGCAGATAAACAGTAGATAAACAGCAGATAAACAGCAGATAAACAGCAGATAAACAGCAGATAAGCAGCAGATAAGCAGCAGATAAGCAGCAGATAAGCAGCAGTTAAGCAGCAGATAAACAGCAGATAACAGTTTGTGGTCCTTTTGTAGCTCAGTTGGTAGAGCATGGTGTTTGTAACGCCAGGGTAGTGGGTTTGATTCCCGGGACCACCCATATGTAAAATGTATGCACACGTGACTGTAAGTCGCTTTGGAATAAAAGCATCTGCAAAATGGCGTATGTTATATTATTAAAAGAGTGCAGCGTAATAATTCCCGAGCCCTCAAAGACCAACATAACATAGGAGATTTCATCTAATGGCTGTTTAAAAAGTCAACGTGTGCTGGTCGATGCCTGGTAATTGTGTTCTTTAAGGTATTACCAAACAACATTCTGTCACAGTTGTGAGCTGGGGTATTAAAATGTACCGTCATACTCCAGTCTCCTTTTCACCTCATTTAACACCTGATTACTTAACAAGAGGCACATCTCAACATGCCATGACACAGTGGGGGTAAGGTGGGTGGGTGGGGGGGGGGGGCTTTCCTCTTTTGTTCTCAAGCAAGTGGGAGACCAATGACATCAATGGGCACCATTAGACCAACTCCTTCAATGCCCGACTCTGTGAAGTTTGCAATTGTGTCAAAAATTTTGCTCCAAAGATTTTCTTTGACCTTGAATTTATACTTGCTTTTCAACAGGAGAATGTGTGTAAAGTGTATTGAGACATGAAATGTACTATAAATAAAATGAGACTTGGACTAGATAGAGGTACACGATGGGTCTGATAGCCAATGAGAGGAAAGCAACGCCTTAGGCCTCTGTAACATCACGTGTTTCTATCAGCAGTAAAGTCCCAGTGACAGGCTGTGGCCCGAATAGGGAAGAGAGTGGCTTTTGGGACACAGCCTGAGCTTCCAGGTATCACAAGGCTGAGGAGGCCGCAGCCATCTGTTAGACTAGAGGAAGAACACGCCCTGCCAGAAACAGGATGGAGAAACAGTCAGCTCTGCTCTGAGGCCTTCAGCCAAACAGCCATCAAACACGCCCTGCCAGAAACAGGATGGAGAAACAGTCAGCTCTGCTCTGAGGCCTTCAGCCAAACAGCCATCAAACACGCCCTGCCAGAAACAGGATGGAGAAACAGTCAGCTCTGCTCTGAGGCCTTCAGCCAAACAGCCATCAAACACGCCCTGCCAGAAACAGGATGGAGAAACAGTCAGCTCTGCTCTGAGGCCTTCAGCCAAACAGCCATCAAACACGCCCTGACAGAAACAGGATGGAGAAACAGTCAGCTCTGCTCTGAGGCCTTCAGCCAAACAGCCATCAAACACGCCCTGCCAGAAACAGGATGGAGAAACAGTCAGCTCTGCTCTGAGGCCTTCAGCCAAACAGCCATCAAACACGCCCTGCCAGAAACAGGATGGAGAAACAGTCAGCTCTGCTCTGAGGCCTTCAGCCAAACAGCCATCAAACACGCCCTGCCAGAAACAGGATGGAGAAACAGTCAGCTCTGCTCTGAGGCCTTCAGCCAAACAGCCATCAAACACGCCCTGCCAGAAACAGGATGGAGAAACAGTCAGCTCTGCTCTGAGGCCTTCAGCCAAACAGCCATCAAACACGCCCTGCCAGAAACAGGATGGAGAAACAGTCAGCTCTGCTCTGAGGCCTTCAGCCAAACAGCCATCAAACACGCCCTGACAGAAACAGGATGGAGAAACAGTCAGCTCTGCTCTGAGGCCTTCAGCCAAACAGCCATCAAACACGCCCTGCCAGAAACAGGATGGAGAAACAGTCAGCTCTGCTCTGAGGCCTTCAGCCAAACAGCCATCAAACACGCCCTGCCAGAAACAGGATGGAGAAACAGTCAGCTCTGCTCTGAGGCCTTCAGCCAAACAGCCATCAAACACGCCCTGCCAGAAACAGGATGGAGAAACAGTCAGCTCTGCTCTGAGGCCTTCAGCCAAACAGCCATCAAACACGCCCTGCCAGAAACAGGATGGAGAAACAGTCAGCTCTGCTCTGAGGCCTTCAGCCAAACAGCCATCAAACACGCCCTGCCAGAAACAGGATGGAGAAAACAGTCAGCTCTGCTCTGAGGCCTTCAGCCAAACAGCCATCAAACACGCCCTGCCAGAAACAGGATGGAGAAACAGTCAGCTCTGCTCTGAGGCCTTCAGCCAAACAGCCATCAAACACGCCCTGCCAGAAACAGGATGGAGAAACAGTCAGCTCTGCTCTGAGGCCTTCAGCCAAACAGCCATCAAACACGCCCTGCCAGAAACAGGATGGAGAAACAGTCAGCTCTGCTCTGAGGCCTTCAGCCAAACAGCCATCAAACACGCCCTGCCAGAAACAGGATGGAGAAACAGTCAGCTCTGCTCTGAGGCCTTCAGCCAAACAGCCATCAAACACGCCCTGCCAGAAACAGGATGGAGAAACAGTCAGCTCTGCTCTGAGGCCTTCAGCCAAACAGCCATCAAACACGCCCTGCCAGAAACAGGATGGAGAAACAGTCAGCTCTGCTCTGAGGCCTTCAGCCAAACAGCCATCAAACACGCCCTGCCAGAAACAGGATGGAGAAACAGTCAGCTCTGCTCTGAGGCCTTCAGCCAAACAGCCATCAAACACGCCCTGCCAGAAACAGGATGGAGAAACAGTCAGCTCTGCTCTGAGGCCTTCAGCCAAACAGCCATCAAACACGCCCTGCCAGAAACAGGATGGAGAAACAGTCAGCTCTGCTCTGAGGCCTTCAGCCAAACAGCCATCAAACACGCCCTGCCAGAAACAGGATGGAGAAACAGTCAGCTCTGCTCTGAGGCCTTCAGCCAAACAGCCATCAAACACGCCCTGCCAGAAACAGTATGGAGAAACAGTCAGCTCTGCTCTGAGGCCTTCAGCCAAACAGCCATCAAACACGCCCTGCCAGAAACAGGATGGAGAAACAGTCAGCTCTGCTCTGAGGCCTTCAGCCAAACAGCCATCAAACACGCCCTGCCAGAAACAGGATGGAGAAACAGTCAGCTCTGCTCTGAGGCCTTCAGCCAAACAGCCATCAAACACGCCCTGCCAGAAACAGGATGGAGAAACAGTCAGCTCTGCTCTGAGGCCTTCAGCCAAACAGCCATCAAACACGCCCTGCCAGAAACAGTATGGAGAAACAGTCAGCTCTGCTCTGAGGCCTTCAGCCAAACAGCCATCAAACACGCCCTGCCAGAAACAGGATGGAGAAACAGTCAGCTCTGCTCTGAGGCCTTCAGCCAAACAGCCATCAAACACGCCCTGCCAGAAACAGGATGGAGAAACAGTCAGCTCTGCTCTGAGGCCTTCAGCCAAACAGCCATCAAACACGCCCTGCCAGAAACAGGATGGAGAAACAGTCAGCTCTGCTCTGAGGCCTTCAGCCAAACAGCCATCAAACACGCCCTGCCAGAAACAGGATGGAGAAACAGTCAGCTCTGCTCTGAGGCCTTCAGCCAAACAGCCATCAAACACGCCCTGCCAGAAACAGGATGGAGAAAACAGTCAGCTCTGCTCTGAGGCCTTCAGCCAAACAGCCATCAAACACGCCCTGCCAGAAACAGGATGGAGAAACAGTCAGCTCTGCTCTGAGGCCTTCAGCCAAACAGCCATCAAACACGCCCACTGTCCCGTCTACTTGCTAATGAATGTTTGAGATGAAATGGCATGTGAAAACACGCCCACTGTCCCGTTGCTAATGTTTGAGATGTTTGAGATGAAATCCAGGCTCTGTCGCAGCCGGCCGCGACCGGGAGATTCATGGGCGGCGCACAATTGGCCCAGCGTCGTCCAGGGTAGGGGAGGGAATGGCCGGCAGGGATGTAGCTCAGTTGATAGAGCATGGCGTTTGCAACGCCAGGGTTGTGTGTTCGTTTCCCACGGGGGGCCAGTATAAAAAAAATATGTATTCACTAACTGTAAGTCGCTCTGGATAAGAGCGTCTGCTAAATGACTAAAATGTAAATGTAATGAAATGGCATGTGAAAACACGCCCACTGTCCCGTTGCTAATGTTTGAGGGGAAATGGCATGTGAAAACACACCCACTGTCCCGTTGCTAATGTTTGAGATGAAATGGCATGTGAAAACACGCCCACTGTCCCGTTGCTAATGTTTGAGATGAAATGGCATGTGAAAACACGCCCACTGTCCCGTTGCTAATGTTTGAGATGAAATGGCATGTGAAAACACGCCCACTGTCCCGTTGCGAATGTTTGAGGGGAAATGGCATGTGAAAACAGACCCACTGTCCCGTTGCTAATGTTTGAGATGAAATGGCATGTGAAAACACGCCCACTGTCCCGTTGCTAATGTTTGAGGGGAAATGGCATGTGAAAACACGCCCACTGTCCCGTTGCTAATGTTTGAGGGGAAATGGCATGTGAAAACACGCCCACTGTCCTGTTGCTAATGTTTGAGGGGAAATGGCATGTGAAAACACGCCCACTGTCCCGTTGCTAATGTTTGAGATGAAATGGCATGTGAAAACACGCCCACTGTCCCGTTGCTAATGTTTGAGATGAAATGGCATGTGAAAACATGCCCACTGTCCCGTTGCTAATGTTTGAGGGGAAATGGCATGTGAAAACACGCCCACTGTCCCGTTGCTAATGTTTGAGATGAAATGGCATGTGAAAACACGCCCACTGTCCCGTTGCTAATGTTTGAGGGGAAATGGCATGTGAAAACACGCCCACTGTCCCGTTGCTAATGTTTGAGGGGACATGGCATGTGAAAACATGCCCACTGTCCCGTTGCTAATGTTTGAGGGGAAATGGCATGTGAAAACACGCCCACTGTCCCGTTGCTAATGTTTGAGGGGAAATGGCTTGTGAAAACACGCCCACTGTCCCGTTGCTAATGTTTGAGGGGAAATGGCTTGTGAAAACACGCCCACTGTCCCGTTGCTAATGTTTGAGGGGAAATGGCATGTGAAAACACGCCCACTGTCCCGTTGCTAATGTTTGAGATGAAATGGCATGTGAAAACACGCCCACTGTCCCGTTGCTAATGTTTGAGATGAAATGGCATGTGAAAACACGCCCACTGTCCCGTTGCTAATGTTTGAGGGGAAATGGCATGTGAAAACACGCCCACTGTCCCGTTGCTAATGTTTGAGGGGACATGGCATGTGAAAACATGCCCACTGTCCCGTTGCTAATGTTTGAGGGGAAATGGCATGTGAAAACACGCCCACTGTCCCGTTGCTAATGTTTGAGGGGAAATGGCTTGTGAAAACACGCCCACTGTCCCGTTGCTAATGTTTGAGGGGAAATGGCTTGTGAAAACACGCCCACTGTCCCGTTGCTAATGTTTGAGGGGAAATGGCATGTGAAAACACGCCCACTGTCCCGTTGCTAATGTTTGAGATGAAATGGCATGTGAAAACACGCCCACTGTCCCGTTGCTAATGTTTGAGATGAAATGGCATGTGAAAACACGCCCACTGTCCCGTTGCTAATGTTTGAGATGTCATGTGGCAGCCGTCAGAAGAGCGTATGTCCTGCTGGTCATCCAGCCTCTCTGGTCATAGGAAAGCAGAATTACAGTGGTTGAAATAAACTACTGTAGAATAGCAATCCTTTGTTTTGTTGTGTGAGTAAATGTCCTATACACACTCAGTTTTCAGGATGTGAACAACAACATGCAGTATATTTTCCTTCTACCAGCAACTGACTGCAGACATCCGGGTAACTGGCAAAATAAAGGAAACGCTTGAGTAAATGAGGGATACAAAGTATATTGAAAGCAGGTGCTTCCACACAGGTGTGGTTCCTGAGTTAATAAAGCAATTAACATCCCATCATGCTTAGGGTCATGTATAAAAATGCCCAGTTGCCCATTATTTTGACTAGCATGGCTAGAAGAAGAGATCTCAGTGACTTTGAAAGAGGGGTTCTCATAGGAGCGTAGGGGGTTTAAAGGGAGTTTATGTGTCTCAGTCACCAGATCTCAACCCAATTGAACACTTATTGGAGATTCTGGAGCGGCGCCTGAGGCAGCGTTTACCACCACCATCAACAAAACACCAAATGATGGCATTTCTCATGGAAGAATTGTGTCACATCCCTCCAAGAGTTCCAGACACTTGTAGAATATATTCCAAGGTGCATTGAAGCTTTTCTGGCTTGTGGTGGCCCAACGCCCTATTAAGACACTTTATGTTGGTGTTTCCTTTATTTTGGCAGTTACCTGTAGCTACAATCTTTCATTAATGAGCTCCCGTGCTGCAGCGTCTTCATTAATGAGCTCCCGTGCTGCTGCGTCTTTATTCATGAGCTCCCGTGCTGCTTCGTCTTCATTAATGAGCTCCCGTGCTGCTGTGTCTTCATTAATGAGCTCCCGCGCTGCAGCGTCTTCATTAATGAGCTCCCGAGCTGCTGCGTCTTCATTAATGAGCTCCCGTGCTGCTGCGTCTTCATTCATGAGCTCCCGTGCTGCTTCGTCTTCATTAATGAGCTCCCGTGCTGCTGCGTCTTCATTCATGAGCTCCCGTGCTGCTTCGTCTTCATTAATGAGCTCCCGTGCTGCTGCGTCTTCATTAATGAGCTCCCGTGCTGCTGCGTCTTCATTGATGAACTTCCGTGCTGCTGCGTCTTCATTAATGAGCTCCCGTGCTGGCTGCGTCTTCATTAATGAGCTCCCGTGCTGCTGCGTCTTCATTAGTGAGCTCCCGTGCTGGCTGCGTCTTCATTAATGAGCTCCCGTGCTGCAGCGTCTTCATTAATGAGCTCCCGTGCTGCTGCGTCTTTATTCATGAGCTCCCGTGCTGCTTCGTCTTCATTAATGAGCTCCCGTGCTGCTGTGTCTTCATTAATGAGCTCCCGCGCTGCAGCGTCTTCATTAATGAGCTCCTGTGCTGCTGCGTCTTCATTAATGAGCCCCCGTGCTGCTGCGTCTTCATTAATGAGCTCCCGTGCTGGCTGCGTCTTCATTAATGAGCTCCTGTGCTGCTGCGTCTTCATTAATGAGCTCCCGTGCTGCTTCGTCTTCATTAATGAGCTCCCGTGCTGCTGTGTCTTCATTAATGAGCTCCCGTGCTGGCTGCGTCTTCATTAATGAGCTCCTGTGCTGCTGCGTCTTCATTAATGAGCCCCCGTGCTGCTGCGTCTTCATTAATGAGCTCCCGTGCTGCTGCGTCTTCATTAATGAGCACCCATGCTGCTGCGTCTTCATTAATGAGCTCCCGTGCTGGCTGCGTCATCATTAATGAGCTCCCGTGCTGGCTGCGTCTTCATTAATGAGCTCCCGTGCTGGCTGCGTCTTCATTCGTGAGTTCCCGTGCTGGCTGCGTCTTCATTCATGAGCTCCCGTGCTGGCTGCGTCTTCATTAATGAGCTCCCGTGCTGGCTGCGTCTTCATTAATGAGCTCCCGTGCTGGCTGCGTCTTCATTGATGAGCTCCCGTGCTGGCTGCGTCTTCATTAATGAGCTCCCGTGCTGGCTGCGTCTTCATTGATGAGCTCCCGTGCTGGCTGCGTCTTCATTAATGAGCTCCCGTGCTGGCTGCGTATTCATTAATGAGATCCCGTGCTGGCTGCGTCTTCATTAATGAGCTCCCGTGCTGCGTCTTCATTAATGAGGTCCCGTGCTGGCTGCGTAATGCACCTTATGTCAGGTGTTTCCTGTATCTCATAACATTTTGTCTGTTTGTTTCTTTCTGTAGTTCTACATTGTGAAGGAGAACCGTGGGAACGAGGGGACGTGTGTCGGGGTGTCCCGTTGGCCTGTCCATGACTTCAACCACCGCACCACGTCAGACATGTGGCTGTACCGGGCCTACAGCGGGAACCTGTACCACAACGGAGAGCAGACACTCACCCTCTCATCCTTCACCCAGGGAGACTACATCAGCTGTGTGTTGGACATGGAGGCACGCACCATCTCCTTCGGGAAGAACGGAGAGGTGAGTGGATAATGCTAGAACTATCAGTTTTGCCTTTTCCCCCTCAGTTTTGAGTTGCTTTTCACCGTGGCTGGTCATTCGAGACGGATTATCTTCCCAAAACAATTAAACCTAGAGACACCAGGGTGTCGTCGTAACTCCCCCCTTCCGAGTCTGAAACCTAGAGACTAGAGACACCAGGGTGTCGTCGTAACTCCCCCCACCCCCCAAGTCTGAAACCTAGAGACTAGAGACACCAGGGTGACGTCGTAACTCCCCCCACCCCCCAAGTCTGAACCCTAGAGACTAGAGACACCAGGGTGTTTGAGACCGTCTCTGCTGTGTTTACAGAAGCCTGTTATTGTTCTCCACAGGAGCCCAAGTTAGCCTTTGAGGACGTGGACGCCGCGGAGCTCTACCCCTGTGTCATGTTCTACAGCAGCAACCCTGGAGAGAAGAGAAGGTAAGACTACCAGCGCTGAACCTAGAACAGAACCACAGAGCTCTACCCCTGTGTCATGTTCTACAGCAGCAACCCTGGGAGAGGTAAGACACCAGGTGAACCTAGAACCACAGAGCTTAATGTTCTACAGCAGAACGCTGGAGAGAAGGTAAGACTACCAGCGCTGAACAGAACCACAGGCTCTACCCCTGGTCATGTTCTACAGCAGCACCCTGGAGAGAAGGACTACCAGACGGAACCTGAACCACAGAGTTACCCTGTGTAAGTCTACCAGCGCTGAACCTTGAACCACAGAGCTCTACCCCTGTGTCATGTTCTACAGCAGCAACCCTGGAGAGAAGGTAAGACTACCAGCGCTGAACCTAGAACCACAGAGCTCTACCCCTGTGTCATGTTCTACAGCAGCAACCCTGGAGAGAAGGTAAGACTACCAGCGCTGAACCTAGAACCACAGAGCTCTACCCCTGTGTCATGTTCTACAGCAGCAACCCTGGAGAGAAGGTAAGACTACCAGCGCTGAACCTAGAACCACAGAGCTCTACCCCTGTGTCATGTTCTACAGCAGCAACCTGGAGAGAAGGTAAGACTACCAGCGCTGAACCTAGAACCACAGAGCTCTACCCCTGTGTCATGTTCTACAGCAGCAACCCTGGAGAGAAGGTAAGACTACCAGCGCTGAACCTAGAACCACAGAGCTCTACCCCTGTGTCATGTTCTACAGCAGCAACCCTGGAGAGAAGGTAAGACTACCAGCGCTGAACCTAGAACCTTGTTAAATCTAGAACCTAGTTAAACCATGTTACATTTAGAACCTAGTTAAACCTAGAACCTTGTTAATTCTAGAACCTAGTTAAATCTAGAACCTAGTTAAACCTTTTTAAATCTAGAACCTAGTTAAATCTAGAACCTTGTTAAATCTAGAACCTAGTTAAATCTAGAACCTTGTTAAATCTAGAACATTGTTAAATCTAGAACCTTGTTAAATCTAGAACCTAGTTAAACCTAGAACCTAGTTAAACCTAGAACATTGTTAAATCTAGAACCTAGTTAAATCTAGAACCTTGTTAAATCTAGAACCTTGTTAAAGCTAGAACCTAGTTAAATCTAGAACCTAGTTAAACCTCAACTGTAAGGTTTGTTCAAATGACTGGTTAGATTTTTCTATCTTGCCGTTGTTTGTTCAACCTCTGTCATTGTTACCTTCGGCCTGTCATGTTTTTAGGTTATTCAAAAACAACTTCCAACCTTCTGAGAACTCAGTTGGATAAATTCATTGTTTGATCATGAAGTAGCGTGCAGGGATGGGCAAGAGTAATCCAGTTCTCCAACAGACGTCAAAACTCCATCTTTAACCAGAGTTCACATTGTTTTCAAATACTGTAAAACTATTTGGTGGAATGTGCTTTGTGGCAAATGACCATTACCCTCACAATTTTTTTTTTTTATTGTCTTGAAGACGACGTTAATGTGCTTTGACTCTAGTGTTCCATTTGTACATGTGCATTTGCGGGGCACAACAAAAAAGAAACCATGCCAAGCGTCACACAGTTCTTCCCCCTAAATTCCCTTTCCCCTCTGTGTCTCTTTCACTCAAATGCGTTCCGACCGCTCCCTCTACACACGCCTGCTGAGTGCTCACCCAAGCTCCCGTTAGGCCTACAGAAATAAATGCCTATACAAATGTATCTAACTGATGGGATACACAAGCTACATTCCTTGCCAAAGGACGAATGACAAATTCAAAATGGACTGGTTGATTGAAGTAGGAAAATATATGTTCAAACAACGAGCTGCAGTTTTGGAATAATTGCATCACGTCTATTTTCCGCGTATGCTACTTTGCGAACTGCTAGCGTCATTTAGAATTGGTTAGCCTCGGCTATAAACCCCCCTAAACATAGACAGGTTAGTTAGCCTCGGCTATAAACCCCCCTTAACATAGACAGGTTAGTTAGCCTCGGCTATAAACCCCCCTAAACATAGACAGGTTAGTTAGCCTCGGCTATAAACCCCCCCTTAACATAGACAGGTTAGTTAGCCTCGGCTATAAACCCCCCCTTAACATAGACAGGTTAGTTAGCCTCGGCTATAAACCCCCCCTTAACATAGACAGGTTAGTTAGCCTCGGCTATAAACCCCCCTTAACATAGACAGGTTAGTTAGCCTCGGCTATAAACCCCCCTTAACATAGACAGGTTAGTTAGCCTCGGCTATAAACCCCCCTTAACATAGACAGGTTAGTTAGCCTCGGCTATAAACCCCCCTAAACATAGACAGGTTAGTTAGCCTCGGCTATAAACCCCCCTTAACATAGACAGGTTAGTTAGCCTCGGCTATAAACCCCCCTTAACATAGACAGGTTAGTTAGCCTCGGCTATAAACCCCCCTTAACATAGACAGGTTAGTTAGCCTCGGCTATAAACCCCCCTTAACATAGACAGGTTAGTTAGCCTCGGCTATAAACCCCCCTTAACATAGACAGGTTAGTTAGCCTCGGCTATAAACCCCCCTAAACATAGACAGGTTCCACACTGAAAATACGCAAAAACATAAGTTTGATAAAGACGGAGCATATTTTCATCAGAATCATTAAGCCTAGGCCTACTCACCAAACAGATGTTGTGGCCGTAATTCATCACCATGCAATGTTCCATGTGGAATTGTTAATCCATTTAGAAAATTCAAAAGAACATCCTGAATAAACTCTATCGAAAAGAAGACCGGTTTTGGTTTGTAACCCAGAAATGTTTTTTTTTTTTTCAGCTCGCCAAATTGAGCCCCGTTTCAAATGATCACTTAGAGAATAACTGTCCCAGATGCAAGATGCGCATCACTTTGCACTACTTTGCACTGGCAACTTTTTTCATTTGTAAAAAAATATTTTTACTATAAAATAGGTGTGTCTTGACTGTGATAAGGGCCTCGGGAAATAAGAGCGTCTTGTCTGCTAAATGAACAAAGCAAGGCTATGCCATTGCACAGCCGGAGGCTTTCTACAAGCAAGCGCATTCTGCTTCCCGGTCAGCTCTATACTGCCTCTCTGTCTCCAGGTAAAGATCTGTGATATGCAGATGCGGGGTACCCCTCGTGACCTCCTGGCTGGTGATCCTATCTGCAGCCCTGTGGCCACAGTCCTGGCTGAGGCCACTACACAGCTCATCAGGATCCTGCACCGCACGGACCACTGGACTCACTGCATCAACAACATCATGATGGAGAGGTTACACAAGATCAAACCCTGCTTCAGAGACGCAGCCAACGGTACTGGAGGAGGAGGTGAGAGGAGAGGTGAGGAGAGGGGGAGAGGAGAGGAGAGGAGAGGAGAGGAGAGGGAGAGGAGAGGAGAGGAGAGGAGAGGAGAGGAGAGGAGAGGAGAGGAGAGGAGAGGAGAGGAGGAGAGGAGAGGAGGAGAGAGGGGGGAGGAGAGGAGAGGAGAGGAGAGGGAGGGGAGAGGAGAGAGGGAGAGGGGAGAGGGAGAGGAGAGGGAGTGAGAGGGAGGGAGGGAGAAGAGGAGAGGAGGGAGGAGAGGAGAGGAGAGGAGGAGAGGAGAGGAGAAGGGAGGTTGAGGAGAGAGGAGAGGAGATTAGAGAAGGGAGGTTGAGGAGAGGAGAGAGGAGAGGGAGAGGGGAGGAGGGAGGAGGAGAGATGAGAGAAGGGAGGTTGAGGAGAGAGGAGAGAGGAGAGGAGATTAGAGAAGGGAGGTTGAGGAGAGGAGGAGGAGAGGAGATTAGAGAAGGGAGGTTGAGGAGAGGAGAAGATATTTGTACTTTACTGTCTTCTTTGTGTCATGTCACAAAGGCAGTTTAAAGTACAGTAGACCAACATAGCTCTTGTAGTAGATGTCAAATCTGGGTTCTGGAGAACCTTGTTAGTGCATGGGTGAAGAAGGGGTTGTGTTGCTCATTTGAATTTCCTGACTTTTGCACATTTTGACCAGCCTGACTTAAACTCACTTAAACATAGTTTTTGTGAGTTAATATTAAAAGGTCCACCGTCATCACCATCACATATACGTAACACATTAATACACACAGGAACAGTCAGGTTAAGAAGTCGTTGTGCAGAGCAGAGACATGATGCCAGAGCAAGACTCCTCCAGGGACCCAGAAGGGGGGGCGCAGGGCATTGGACGGGTCTGAGAGGATCTCTACTGTCACGCATCTTGCAGGACACACGTCTGTACCAGGAAGATTGATAAAAATGCGCCTACAGCCATGAGCAACGCATGAGACGTGAGCACGCATGAACAAGCGCATACCATCCATGACACAACAGCCATGAGCATAACGCGATGTACACAACACATGGACCCAAGGCATGATCAATCTTGATGAACAGCAACCATGACCAACGCCATGACACAACGCCATGACACAACGCCATGACAACCCAGCACAACACCATGACACAACGCCATGACACAACACCATGACACAACGCCATGACAACACCATGACACAACGCCATGACACAACGCCATGACACAACGCCATGAACCATAACAACGCCATGACAACCAAAACACCATGACACACCATGACACACACGCCATGACACAACACCATGACACAACTGACCCATGACACAACACCATGACAAACCCATGACACAAACGCCATGACACAACACGCCATGACAACACACCATGACACAACGCCATGACACAACGCCATGACAACACCATGACACAACGCCATGACACAACGCCATGACACACCATGACACAACGCCATGACACAACGCCATGACACAACGCCATGACACAACACCATGACACAACGCCATGACACAACGCCATGACACAACGCCATGACACAACGCCATGACACAACGCCATGACACAACGCCATGACACAACCCATGACACAACACCATGACACAACACCATGACACAACGCCATGACAACACAATGACACAACGCCATGACACAACACCATGACAACACCATGACAACATGCCATGACACAACGCCATGACACAACACCATGACACAGAGGGGGAAGGCAGCTCTTATGTTACAGTTCAAACTAAATGAACTACAGTATGTGATGTGAGATGTTACATCAGGATATTTCTATTTTAGGTCATTTATATTGATATAATTAATAGCTATGTGATTTACATTCATGTAATATTTACAAGTAGCACAATGCTCATTATGAACTGGAGCCGCAGTCTTTTATTGTAAATATCTATTTCAGAGCTTGCTGTCTGTTCTTAAAGGCATTTCATGTTGAACTCTAAAGGTGTGGCCTGTGCTGGCCGTGATGGGGGGTGCTGACGCAGGGCTGCGTGTGGGGGGGCGCTGTGTACACAAACAGAACCTGGTCGTCACGCTACTCTACTGGGTGTGGTGAAGGAGGGGAGCGCCTCGGCCAAGGTGCAGTGGGACGAGGCGGAGATCACCATCAGGTATTAACGTTAGATTTGACCCAGCAGGTCTCGATAGCCCTGGTCCCAGATCAGTTTGTGCTCTCTTGCCTGATGGAATTCTCATGGGGGTGACAATGCCAGTGGAGTAGGCAAGAGCGGAAACAGATCTGAGACCAGGCTAAGGCCTTGAGAGAAGCAAGGCTTATTATTAGGGCTGGCACAATGGACAATAACCGTGAACCCCTTAATACATTCATTTCAGGAGAAGGGAGGATTCAGCTTTATATTCAAGCAGATTATAGTTTAGTCAATAGCAGTTTCATGTCTTGCTGAATATGTACACTGGCTATGTTCACATAACTATTCTGTAAAACTCCATCACCTAGCCCTGTTTCAATACTTTTCCTCCATAACCACCCTCATCCACTACCATTAATACCTCCCAATAACTTATCCACCATCATCCATATCCCATATATAAGCTATTGACTCATTCATTGACTCATCCCAACTCTGCATGGTACCATGATATCACCAGCCCCTCTTCCACCCATCCACCTAGCCTGGTCCCAGATGTGTTTATGTAATGCCAACTCCATCTGTGTCATTGTCAAGCCAAACATTGGCATGAATATTCCATAAGGAGATGGCAAGAAGCAGAAACAGACTGGCTCCCAGGGCAGACTACCATCCATCCATATCCATCCCCCAGACTACCATCCATCCATCCCCCAGACTACCATCCCATCCCCCAGACTACCATCCATCCATCCCCCAGACTACCATCCATCCCATCCCCCAGACTACCATCATCATCCCCAGACTACTCCATCCATCCCCCAGACTACCATCCATCCATCCCCCAGACTACCATCCATCCATCCCCCAGACTACCATCCATCCATCCCCCAGACTACCATCCATCCATCCCCCAGACTACCATCCATCCCCCAGACTACCATCCATCCCCCAGACTACATCCATCCATCCCCAGACTACATCCATCCATCCATCCCCCAGACTACCATCCATCATCCATCCCCCAGACTACCATCCATCCATCCCCCAGACTACCATCCATCCCCCAGACTACCATCCATCCATCCCCCAGACTACCATCCATCCATCCCCCAGACTACCATCCATCCATCCCCCAGACTACATCATCCATCCCCAGACTACCATCCATCCCCAGCTACCATCCATCTCCCCCAGACTACCATCCATCCATCCCCAGACTACATCATCCATCCCCAGACTACCATCCATCCCCCAGACTACCATCCATCCATCCCAGACTACACATCCATCCATCCCCCAGACTACCATCCATCCCCCAGACTACCATCCATCCATCCCCCAGACTACCATCCATCCATCCCCAGACTACCATCCATCCATCCCCCAGAACTACCCACTAATCCATCCCCCAGACTACCATCCCATCCATCCCCCAGACTACCATCCATCCATCCCCAGACTACACCATCCATCCATCCCCCAGACTACCATCCATCCATCCCCCAGACTACCATCCATCCATCCCCCAGACTACCATACCATCCATCCCCCAGACTACCATCCATCCATCCCCCAGATACCATCATCCCCAGACTACATCCATCCCAGACTACCATCCATCCATCCCCAGACTACCATCCATCCATCCCCCAGACTACACCATCCATCCCCAGACTCATCCATCCCCAGACTACCATCCATCCATCCCCCAGACTACCATCCATCCCCCGACTCCATCCATCCCCCAGACTACATCCATCCATCCCCCAGACTACCATCATCCATCCCCCAGATACCATCCATCCCCAGACTACCATCCATCATCCCCCAGACTAACATCCATACCATCCATCCCCCAGACTACCATCCATCTCCCCCAGACTACCATCCATCATCCCCAATCATCCACCCGATACCATCCATCCATCCCCCCAGACTACCATCCATCCATCCCCCAGACTCCACCATCCATCCCCCAGACTACCATCCCCAGATCCATCCATCCATCCGACTCCCACTCCAATCCATCCCCAGCACTCCATCCCATCCATCCATCCACCAGACTCCATCCAATCCATCCATCCCCCAGACCTCCATCATCCATAATCCACATCCCAATACATCCATCCCCAGACTACCATCATCCATCCCCAAATCATCCCCCATCCATCCATCCCCATACCATCCATCCATCCCCAGTCCATCCCATCCATCCCCAGTCCATCCATACCCATCCATCTCCCAGCACCTCCACCATCCATCCCCAGCCATCATCCATCCCCCAGACTACCATCCATCCATCCAATCCATCCATCCATCCCACCTCACCCCCAGATCCATCCATCACCCCCATATCCTCCAATCCACATCCCCCAGCCATCCATCCATCCATTCCATCCACCCCAGCACATCACCCATCCATCCCCAGATCCACATCCATCCATCCTCCATCCACCATCCATCCATCCCAGCTAGCCATCCATCCACATCCATCCCCCAACTACCATCACCATCCACCATACCATCCATACCACCATCCACATCCATCCCCACACAGCCATCCATCCATCCCCCAGCCATCCATCCATCCCCCAGCCATCCATCCTCCACTCCTCCACCATGTCTTGCATGCTCTCTGTCTTCCTCCTCCTTTCCCTCACTCTGTTTTTCCTTGTGTTCCTCCACTTCTGGTTCTTCATTAAAGCTTCCCAACTTTCTGGTCGCCTAGTGACACTCCCCTGTACAACCTGGAGCCCTGCGAGCCGCTGCCCTTTGACGTGGCACGCTTCCGGGGCCTCACCGCTTCCCTGCTCCTCGACCTCACCTACCTCACCTCCATCCACGAGGACGCTGGGAAACTCAGCGCCCGGCGCCACGAGAAGAAGCACCGTAGCGGTAGAGGTCACGATACAACGACGACGACCGCCACGACAAACGACGACATCAACAACAAACCTAGTGAGACAGAGCTGAGCCACCAACACAGGGTCTCCCCAGACCCCAAAGACACAACAACAACGGGGACCGTCACCACGACGACGACCTCTGATCTGAGAGTGTCACACAGCCTGGACGAGGTCAAAGCCCACGTGGTGCCCAACTCCAAATCAGAGAGCGAGATCTCCTCCTACGCCTTGGACTCCCAAAACCAGGGTGGAGGAGGAGGAGGAGGAAGTCCAGAGAACCTCTCCCCTGCTCCTCAGACCCCCCAGGAGGGCAACAGGAGGAAGGGCCATGAGGGGCTGTCTCACGGGGGCCGGGGCCACGATGGCTCTCCCTCCTCAGGGGCCAGTCAATCTGAGATCCATGCGGTGCAGCTGTCCTACCTCTACCTGGGGGCAATGAAGGCTCTCAGCACCCTGCTCACCTGCTCCAAGTATGCTGAGCTGCTGCTCATACCCAAGGTTAGTAGTACTGCATCTGGTGAGTCAGTTTGGTGGCAGCAACATCAGGGTTGTGGGTTCGAATCCCGCATGGCTCTCACATCATATAGTACCTGTCCGAGAAATGCCTGGGCCCAGGTTACGTTGTCAGGAAAAAGTCACTGGCCCCAAGTATACTGTAAATGTGTGTTTTGTCAATCAAAGCGTCTGCTAACGGCCCACTCTGTAATCGGTCCAGGTTCAATCAAAGCATCTGCTAACGGCCCACTATGTAATCGGTCCTGGTTAAATCAAAGCGTCTGCTAACGGCCCACTATGTAATCGGTCCAGGTTCAATCAAACCTTCTGCTAACGGCCCACTATGTAATAGGTCCAGGTTCAATCAAAGCGTCTGCTAACAGCCCACTCTGTAATCGGTCCAGGTTCAATCAAAGCGTCTGCTTAACGGCCCCACTATGTAATCGGTCCTAGGTTCAATCAAACCTTCTGCTAACGGCCACTATGTAATCGGTCCAGGTTCAATCAAAGCGTCTGCTAACGGTCCACTATGTAATCCGGTCCAGGTTCAATCAAAACTGTCTGCTAACGGCCCACTCTGTAATCGGTCCAGGTTCAATCAAAGCGTCTGCTAACGGCCCACTCTGTAATCGGTCCAGGTTCAATCAAAGCGTCTGCTAACGGCCCACTCTGTAATCGGTCCAGGTTCAATCAAAGCGTCTGCTAACGGCCCACCTGTAATCGGTCCAAGGTTCAATCAAAGCGTCTGCTAACGGCCCACTTGTAATCGGTCCAGGTTCAATCAAAGCTGTCTGCTAACGGCCCACTCTGTAATCGGTCCAGGTTCAATCAAAGCGTCTGCTAACGGCCCACTCTGTAATCGGTCCAGGTTCAATCAAAGCGTCTGCTAACGGCCCACTATGTAATCGGTCCAGGTTCAATCAAAGCGTCTGCTAACGGCCCACTCTGTAATCGGTCCAGGTTCAATCAAAGCGTCTGCTAACGGCCCACTATGTAATCGGTCCAGGTTCAATCAAAGCGTCTGCTAACGGCCCACTATGTAATCGGTCCAGGTTCAATCAAAGCGTCTGCTAACGGTCCACTATGTAATCGGTCCAGGTTCAATCAAATGTCTGCATAGGCCCATCTGAATAGGTCAGGTTCAATCAAAGCGTCTGCTAACGGCCCCATGTAATAGGTCCAGGTTCAATCAAAGGTCTGCTATGGCCCACTCTGTAATCGGTCCAGGTTCAGCGGGCCTGCTCCAGGCACAATGCGGACCACTGAACGTGGTCACAACGCCTGGCTGACGGCCCCCCTGTAACGGAGTTGAATAAAGCGCATGCTAAGTCCTATGTTCAGTCAGGTCATCAGGCGTTGTAGGTCCCACATTAAGGTCCGTTGGATGGCGTTTGGCCATGGTCGGCCGGTTCAATCAAAGTCTGTAACGCCTGCTGAATCGGTCCAGTCAGCAAAGCAGTGCCTTGAAGGTCCCTCTACTGGACCATCGGTCGGTTGGAACTTCAAACTCTGTCGGACTGTAGGTCCAGGTAACAAACTCCTGTTATAAGGCCTAGTTAATTGGGTCTCTCATCAAGTGTTGCTTGTGACCTGCAGAGTCAGGTAAAAACGTTGCTAAGGGTGTGTCAGGTTCATCGAGCGTCTCTACGGCCCAATGTACGGCCAGGTTCAACAAGCCGCTACGGCCTCAACGCCAGTCACAAGCCCTCGGCCCTCACGCACACTCCTTCATGACGCCTCTCTGGAGGGATACTACCAACCGCCACTACGACCAGTTACTGACACAGAGCGTCTGTCCCTGCCTCAAGTCCACGTGGGTTCATGCCGCTTAGCCTGTCAAGGTAGTTCAATCAAACCGCAACGCCCACACACACACACAACGTGAACTTTTAAGTCAGGTTATTACACTATGTAACGGTCCAGGTTCAATCAAGCGTCTGCTAACGGCCCACTATGTAATCGGTCCAGGTTCAATCAAAGCGTCTGCTAACGGCCCACTATGTAATTGGTCCAGGTTCAATCAAAGTGTCTGCTATTGGCCCACTCTGGAATCGGTCCAGGTTCAATCAAAGCGTCTGCTAACGGCCCCTCTGTAATAGGTCCAGGTTCAATCAAAGCGTCTGCTAACGGCCCACAATGTAATCGGTCCAGGTTCAATCAAAGCGTCTGCTAACGGCCCACTCTGTAATCGGTCCAGGTTCAATCAAAGCGTCTGCTAACAGCCCACTCTGTAATCGGTCCAGGTTCAGCCGGAGCCTGCTCCCAGTGGACACAATGCAGACCTGAACGCTGGGTCCACCCCCAGTGGCGGAGCGGCCTCGCCCGTGTGCCAGGAGGAAGTTGAGATGAGGGCGGCACTGCAGTTCCTGATGCGTCACATGGTCAAGCGGGCCGTGATGAGGTCACCCATCAAGCGGGCGTTGGGATTGGCCGATTTGGAGAGGGCTCAGGCCGTGATCTATAAATTGGTGGTCAGCGGGCTGCTGGACGGACACTGCAGCGGGGGCAAAGCCAGGCCTGGTGAGTCCCTCTACACTGAGGAAAACAACATGGTGTTTGTTAGGGAAGGCTTTTCCAACTCTGGTCCTGGACTGGGTTCTTCCTGGGGTAAACATCTATACACCTGTTAATACTAGCTAGCTAGTTACCTTGGAGGTTTCTCTGACCATCTGATGTTGTGACCTGTCAAGAGTAAAGGAAAACTCTGTACTAAGGTGGTTGTTGGTCTCTCTCCCGGCGTCTTAGCTGACCCAGAGTGTGAGGAGGGTGTGCAGGGAGAGCAGCAGGCCCAGACGCCCATCACCACTAGCCCCTCGGCCTCCAGCACCACCTCCTTCATGAGCTCCTCTCTGGAGGATACTACCACCGCCACTACACCAGTTACTGACACAGAGACTGTCCCTGCCTCAGAGTCCCCTGGGGTCATGCCGCTTAGCCTGCTCAGGTATATCAATCACACACACACACACACACACACACACACACACACACACACACACACTGTGGATACTTTTTAAAGTCAAGGTATTTATTACAATGCCTGGTCTTTACAGGCAAATGTTTTCAAGCTACCCGACCACCACTCTGCTGCCAACGCGTCGTGCCCAGACCCCCCCGGTGTCTTCTCTCCCCACGTCTCCCTCTGACGAGGTGGGCCGCAGACAGAGCCTCACCTCCCCTGAGACCCAGACCTCCAGACCAACCAACAGGACAGGAACATGTATGGATTACACACCAAGCATCGCATGCATACACGCACACAAACACAGAGACACAGAGACACACAAACACACAGACACAGAGCCTCAGCTCCCCTGAGACCTTGTTTTATCCCAGTCCAACAGGCTGGCTAGTACTGGCCCTGTTTTATCCCAGACCAACAGGCTGGCTAGTACTGGCCCTGTTTTATCCCAGGCAACGGGCGGGCTATTTACGGGCCCCTTTTATCCAGCCAACAGGGGCTAGTAGGGCCTTTTTTACCCAGGCCAAAGGGGTAGTATGGCCTTTTTTCCCAGGCCAACAGGCGGCTATATGGCCCATTTATCCCAGGCCAACAGGCTGCTATACTGGCCTTTTATCCCGGGCCCCCCAAAAGGGCTGGCTAGATGGCCTTTTATCCCAGGCCAACAGGCGGGTAGTACGGGCCCTTTAATCCCGGCCAACAGGGGCTAGTACGGGCCCATGTTTTCCCCCCCACCACCCAACCAGGCTGGCTGTACGCCCTGTTTATCCCAGCCCAAAACAGGTGCTAGTGCTGGCTTGTTTACCCGGGCCAACAGGCTGGAAGTACTGGCCTTGTTTTATCCCAGACCAACAGGCTGGCAGATGGCCCTGTTTTATCCAGACCAAAGTGCTGTAGGCCTTTTTATCCAGACAAGGCTGGCTGTGCTGGCCCGTTTATCCGGGGCAACAGGCTGGGTAATGGCCTGTTTATCCCAGACAACCAGGCTGGCTAGTACCTGTTTATCCCAGACCAACGGGCTATTTGGCCCTTTTTATCCCAGCCAACAGGCTGGCTAGTACGGGTTTTTACCCAGCCAACAGGCGAGTACTGGCCCTTTTTATCCCAGACCAACAGGCGGGTAGACTGGCCTTTTATTCCGGGCAACAGGTGGCTAGTTACTGGCCCTTTTTATCCCAGCCAACAGGTGGCTAGTACGGCCCTTTTTACCAAGCCAACAGGCTGGTAGTACTGGCCCTATTTTATCCCAGCCAACAGGCTGGCTAGTACTGGCCTTGTTTTATCCCAGGCCAACAGGCTGGCTAGTACGGCCTGTTTTATCCCAGGCCAACAGGCTGACTAGTACTGGCCCTATTTTATCCCAGGCCAACAGGCTGGTAGTACGCCCTTTTATCCGGGCCAAACAGGCGGGTAGTACGGCCCTTTTTATCCCAGCCAACAGGGGCCCTAGTTGGCCCTTTTATCCCGCCAACAGGCTGGCTAGTATGCCCTTTTACCCAAGCCCAACAGGGGGACTAGTACTGGCCCTATTTTATCCCAGGCCAACAGGCTGGCTAGTACCGGCCTTGTTTTACCCCAGGCCAAAGCTGGCTAGTACGGGCCCCTTTTTACCCCGGGCAACAGGCTGGCTAGTGCTGGCCCTGTTTTATCCCAGACCAACAGGCTGGCTAGTGGCCCCTGTTTTATCCCAGGCCAACAGGCTGGCTAGTACTGGCCCTATTTTATCCCAGGCCAACAGGCTGGCTAGTACCGGCCCTGTTTTATCCCAGGCCAACAGGCGGCTAGTAGGCCCTGTTTACCCCAGCCACAGGTGGCTTGGGCGGCCCTGTTTTACCCCGGGGCCAACAGGCTGGTATACGGGCCCCCTTGTTTTATCCCCCAAGGGGCTTACCCCTGTTTATCCCAACCAACGGCTGGTATTTGGGCCCTTTTTATCCCAGCAAACAGGCTGGCTAGTCCCCTTTTTTATCCAGCCAAAGGGCGGGCAAGTACGGGCCCTTTTTATCCCAGGCAAAGGGCTGGTATTTTTACGGCCCTGTTTTACCCCCAGCCCCAACAGGCTGCTGTACTGGCCTGTTTTTACCCCCAACAGGCTGGCTAGTAGGGCCCCTTTTATCCCGGGGCAACAGGCTGGTATACCCGTTTTTCCCGGCAACAGGCGGGTAAGGGCCCCTTTTTTTATCCCAGCCAACAGGGGGCTAGTCGGGCCCTTTTTATCCCGCCAAAGGTGGCTAGTACTGGCCTTTTTATCCCGCCAAACGGCTGGCTAGTCTGCCTTTTTACCCCAGCCAACAGGCGGCTAGTAGGCCCTTTTACCCCAGCAACAGGCGGGCAATCCCTTTCCCCCCCTGTTATCCCAACCAAACGGTGGCTATTACTGGGCCTTTTTTATCCCAGGCCAAGGTGGCTATTTTAACCCCCTGTTTTATCCCAGCCAAAGGGGGGCCTAGTGTTTCCCTGGTTTATCCCAGGCCCAGGCTGGTAGATGGCCCTGTTTTTTCCCAACCAAAGGGGGCTATACGGGCCCCTGTTTTATCCCAGACCAAAGGCTGGTGACTGGCTTTTTTTATCCCGGGCCCAAAAGGGCGGTAGTCGGGCCCCCTTTTTTTACCCCAAAACCAACAGGCTGGCTAGTTGGCCCGTTTTACCCCAGAAACGGCGGGCTAGTACCCTGTTTATCCAGCCCAACAGGGGGTAGTAGGGCCTTTTTTTCCCGGGCAACAGGGGGCGTACCCCTTTTTTTATCCCAGACCAAAAGCGGGAAATACGGCCCCTTTTTATCCCGACCAACAGGCGGGGCGTCGGGCCCTTTTATCCCAGCAACGGGCTCTTACTGGCCTTTTTTTATCCAGCCAACATGGCTAGTACGGGCCCCCATTTTACCCCCAGCCAAAAGGCTGGCTATTGGCCCTTTTTATCCCAGGCCAACAGGCGACTAGTATGCCCTATTTTATCCGGGCCAAAGGCTGGCTTTTGGGGCCCGTTTACCCAGGCCAAACCGGGGGCCCCTAAAATGGCCCTTTTATCCCCAGCCCAAAGGGGTAGTTGGCCCTTTTTTTCCCAGCCAAAGGGGCTAGTTGGCCCTTTTTACCCGCCCACAGGCGGGCTAGTAGGGCCCCGGTTTTACCCCGGGCCAAACAGCTGGCTATCGGGCCCCTTTTTTCCCAGCCAAAAGGGCCCTTAGTATGGCCCTTTTTATCCCAGACCACAGGCGGGGAGTATCCCCCCCTTTTTTAAAACCCCGGGCCAAAATTGTGTGCGGCCCGTTTTACCCGCCCAAAGGCTGGCTAGTCTGGCCCTTTTTTCCAAAAAAAGGCTGGCTAGCTGGCCCCTTTTACCCCCGGGAAAACGGGCTGGCTAGTCGGGCCCCTGTTTTTCCCAGGCCAACAGGCTGGTAGTCTGGCCCTTTTTATCCCAGACCAACAGGTGGCTATTGGGGCCCCCTGTTTTACCCGGGGACAACAGGGGGCTAGTAGGCCCTGTTTTCCCCAGGCCAACGGGGGCTAGTCGGCCCTTTTTATCCCAGACAACGGTGGTAGTATCCCCGTTTACCCAGACCAACGGGCTGGCTAGGGGCCCCTGTTTTACCCCCACCAACCAGGCTGGTATTTGGGCCTTTTTTCCCAGGCCAACAGGGCTGGCTAGTCCCTGTTTACCCCGGGCCAACAGGGGAGTCGGGCCCCCTTTTTTACCCCGCCAACGGGGGGTACGGGCCCCTTTTTTACCCCAGCCAAAGGCGGGTATTACTGGCCCCTTTTTTATCCCGGCCACAGGGGGTAGTATGGCCTTTTTATCCAAAGGCAACAGGCGGCTAGTACCCCTTTTTACCCAGCAACAGGCTGGTTTGGCCCTTTTTTTTTTACCCCAAAACCAAACAGGCTGGCAAAAGGGTAAGACTTTTTTTTTATTTGCTTGAGGGAAATGTTTTACGTGACATACATGAATACTTTTTAAATTTTAAAATTTTTAGCATTGAGACGCTCTTACCCAGAGCGATTTACATTTTAGGGTGCATACCTTTTATGACTGTGATTTAAATTTTACTTGACTGTGATATGATATTACTATGACTGTGAAATGATATTACTATGACTGTGATGATATTGATATATGTTGGACTGTGAATGCATATACTAGTGACTGTGGATAAGAGATATTACTAGTACGTGATATGAAAACTTAACTAGACTGGACCTGACTGAAGCTCTGTGATTATTCTATGACTGCTGATTGAATATATAATGCTGTGAAGTTACTTGACTGTGATATGTATTACTATGACTTGTTGATATGTGGTGGGTCACCTCCTAGCTATCTTCAGATGAATGCACCTAACTGTAAGTTGCTCTGGATAAGAGCATCTACTCAATTACTAAAATTAAAAACTGTAAACGTAGGACTAGGGCCCCTGGAACGAAGGCGGCTCTTGGTGACTTCATTCTTAAGGCTCTTACTTTTTTTCTGATCAATAAAATATACCTGTCCATAGTAGCACACAGGATACGTTCTGTAAGTCCTGTTTGTCTCTGTATGTGATGGTAACATCCTCTCCTCCGTGTTGTCCACTCCAGCCCTGTCGGACCCCAGCAGCAGACTCTCCACTTCCCCTCCACCCCCGGCCATCGCTGTGCCCCTCCTGGAGATGGGCTTCTCTCTGAGGCAGATCACCAAGGCTCTGGAGGCTACAGGGACAGGTACAGACTTCACTATACACTACCTTATACCAAGGCTCTGGAGGGTACAGGGGACATGACTTCAGATACACTACCTTATCCCAAGGCTCTGGAGGGTAACAGGGACTGACTTCAATATATTCTATACACTACCTTATACCAAGGCCTCTGGAGGGTACCATGGTACCGACTTCACTATACACTACCTTATACCAAGGGCTCTGGAGGGTACCTACTTCCCCCTTACCAAGGCTCTGGAGGGTACAGGGACTGACTTTCACTATACACTACCTTATACCAAGGCTCTGGAGGGTACAGGTACTGACTTCACTATACCACTACCTTATACCAAGGCTCTGGAGGGTACAGGGTACTGACTTCACTATACACTACCTTATACCAGGCTCTGGAGGGTACAGGTACTGACTTCACTATACACTACCTTATACCAAGGCTCTGGAGGGTACAGGGACTGACTTCACTATACACTACCTTATACCAAGGCTCTGGAGGGTACAGGGACAGACTTCACTATACACTACCTTATACCAAGGCTCTGGAGGGTACAGGGACTGACTTCACTATACACTACCTTATACCAAGGCTCTGGAGGGTACAGGGACTGACTTCACTATACACTACCTTATACCAAGGCTCTGGAGGGTACAGGGACTGACTTCACTATACACTACCTTATACCAAGGCTCTGGAGGGTACAGGGACAGACTTCACTATACACTACCTTATACCAAGGCTCTGGAGGGTACAGGGACTGACTTCACTATACACTACCTTATACCAAGGCTCTGGAGGGTACAGGGACTGACTTCACTATACACTACCTTGTTTTTCATGGTTCGGGCTTGGCCCCTTAGTTTAAGTGAAGGGAAATCTTAACGCTACAGCATACAATGACGTTCTAGACGATTCTGTGCTTCCAACTTTGTGGCAACAGTTTGGGGAAGGCCCTTTCCTGTTTCAGCATGACAATGCCCCCGTGCACAAAGTGAGGTCCATACAGAAATGGTTTGTCGAGATCTGTGTGGAATAACTTGACTGACCTGCACAGAGCCCTGACATCAACCCTGCCTTTGGGATGAATTGGAACGCCGACTGCGAGCCAGGCCTAATTGCCCAACATCAGTGCTCGACCTCACTAATGCTCTTGTGGCTGAATGGAAGCAAGTCCCCTCAGCAATGTTCCAACATCTAGTGGAAAGCCTTCCCAGAAGAGTGGAGGCTGTTATAGCAGCAAATGGGGGACCAACTCCATATTAATGCCCATGATTTTGGAATGAGATGTTCGACGAGAAGCTGTCCACATACTGTTGGCCATGTAGTGTATCACAAATATCACATGTTGTATCGCTGAATATGAGCGAGAACACTTTGGTTACTGTTGGCAGCAAACATGGAGTCAGTCAGTCAGCCATCAGTTCAGAATGTCCAGCTTGTTTGCAAATGAGCCTCCTACTTTATCTAGTGGCCATTCAGGATTCAGCCACTTCTAATGGACCGTCTCTCTCCCAGCCAATGGCCATTCAGGATTCAGCCACTTCTAATGGACCGTCTCTCTCCCAGCCAATGGCCATTCAGGATTCAGCCACTTCTAATGGACCGTCTCTCTCCCAGCCAATGGCCATTCAGTATTCAACCACTTCTAATGGACCGTCTCTCTCCCAGCCAATGGCCATTCAGTATACAACCACTTCTAATGGACCGTCTCTCTCCCAGCCAATGGCCATTCAGTATTCAACCACTTCTAATGGACCGTCTCTCTCCCAGCCAATGGCCATTCAGTATTCAGCCACTTCTAATGGACCGTCTCTCTCCCAGCCAATGGCCATTCAGTATTCAGCCACTTCTAATGGACCGTCTCTCTCCCAGCCAATGGCCATTCAGTATTCAGCCACTTCTAATGGACCGTCTCTCTCCCAGCCAATGGCCATTCAGTATTCAACCACTTCTAATGGACCGTCTCTCTCCCAGCCAATGGCCATTCAGTATTCAGCCACTTCTAATGGACCGTCTCTCTCCCAGCCAATGGCCATTCAGTATTCAAACCACTTCTAATGGACCGTCTCTCTCCCAGCCAATGGCCATTCAGTATTCAACCACTTCTAATGGCCATTCAGTATTCAACCACTTCTAATGGACCGTCTCTCTCCCAGCCAATGGCCATTCAGTATTCAACCACTTCTAATGGACCGTCTCTCTCCCAGCCCAATGGCCATTCAGTATTCAACCACTTCTAATGGACCGTCTCTCTCCCAGCCAATGGCCATTCAGTATTCAACCACTTCTAATGGACCGTCTCTCTCCCAGCCAATGGCCATTCAGTATTCAACCACTTCTAATGGACCGTCTCTCTCCCAGCCAATGGCCATTCAGTATTCAACCACTTCTAATGGACCGTCTCTCTCCCAGCCAATGGCCATTCAGTATTCAACCACTTCTAATGGACCGTCTCTCTCCCAGCCAATGGCCATTCAGTATACAACCACTTCTAATGGACCGTCTCTCTCCCAGCCAATGGCCATTCAGTATACAACCACTTCTAATGGACCGTCTCTCTCCCAGCCAATGGCCATTCAGTATACAACCACTTCTAATATTATTATTATAACTGCTTATATTTGTCCTGCTACAGACTTGTTAATGTGTTCATCATTACAAGTGTGTAATGGTAATGTGTTGCATATCCCAACTCCCCCTGAAACACCCGCAGGGAGTGGGGTCACGGCCGGGGTCACCATTGGCCAGCGCCAAATGGAGCAATTGGGGGTTAAGTGCCTTGCTCAAGGGCACAGCGACAGATCTTTTTCGGCTCAGGAATTCAAATTCAGCAACCTTTGTTACCTGGTCCCAACGCTCTAACCTCGTGGCTACCTGCCACCCCTGTTAGCAGCACCCTGACAGTGATCTAAGTATGTCATCAGTTCCTATCTGCACCCCATCCCCCCCCAGGTACTCGTGGCGAGGCTGATGCCCAGAACATCACAGTGCTGGCCATGTGGATGATAGAGCACCCCGGGACGGAGGAGGAGGAGCAGGAGGAGAGCCACTCTGGAGGAGGGGGGTCAGACAGCTCCACCTGCCCAGGGGCCACAGCCTCGGGAGGGGGTAAGAGTCTGGAGAGGAGCTACCTACACTCCCCTGGAGATATCCCTAACGCTGACGCTGCAGACATGGAGGAGGGCTTCAGTGAGAGGTAGGTACAGTCTACAGTAACTGAACCTGTTCTAGAGTACAGCCCCCTCAGGGTCAGGGGTCAGGTATGACTGTCTAAAGCCTTCTGTTGCCCATAGTGCACTTAGTAGCACTTGGATAAAACTGCTGTAGATTCAGGATTCAACAACAACATGAACTTACAATACTTCCTGCTACAGCGCAGAAAGAGTCAGGGGATGCCGTCTATTCTGTTTGCTATTGCTATTGAACTACTAGTTATAATTTAAAACCGATATTAGATCATCTGTTTCCATGTTTCTGGTTGTACGAGGGCTGTGTTGTCCTTGTTGTCAGTTTCCACGTGACTGACTGACTGTGAGTGCAGTGTAAAACAGCGGATCATTTCCCCATGTTTACTGACTGTGTGTCCCTGCAGTCCAGAGGGTCTGGACCAGAGTGCAGTGTAAAACAGCGGATCATTTCCCCATGTTTACTGACTGTGTGTCCCTGCAGTCCAGAGGGTCTGGACCAGAGTGCAGTGTAAAACAGCGGATCATTTCCCCATGTTTACTGACTGTGTGTCCCTGCAGTCCAGAGGGTCTGGACCAGGACAGTGCCTCAGCCTCCAGTGGTCCAACACCCAGAGGCCACTCTGCTGTCAGCAGGAAACACCGCTTTGACTTGGCTGCTAGGACGCTGCTGACCCGTGCTGGTGAGACTCTCTCTCTCTCTCTGCTCTCCCTTCCTCCCTCCTTTTTCCTTTCCTCCGAGACGTCTAAGAAAAGGAAAACCCACACACTGCTCTTGCCAGTATCACTTTATGTTTTTGAAAGTAAACTCAGGGAGAAAAAAATTATAAAGAAACTTCCCTTTTTCAGGACCCTGTCTTTCAAAGATAATTAGTGAAAAATCCAAATAACTTCACAGATCTTCATTGTAAAGGGTTTAAACACTGTTTCCCATGCTTGTTCAATGAACAATAAACAATTAATGAACATGCACCTGTGGAACGGTCGTTAAGACACTAACAGCTTACAGACGGTAGGCAATTAAGGTCACAGTTATGAAAACTTAGGACACTAAAGAGGCCTTTCTACTGACTCTGAAAAACACCAAAAGAAAGATGCCCAGGGTCCCTGCTCATCTGCGTGAACGTGCCTTAGGCATGCTGCAAGGAGGCATGAGGACTGCAGATGTGGCCAGGGCAATAAATTGCGATGTCCGTACTGTGAGACGCCTAAGACAGCGCTACAGGGAGACAGGACGGACAGCTGATCGTCCTCGCAGTGGCAGACCACGTTTAACAACACCTGCACAGGATCGGTACATCCGAACATCACACCTGCGGGACAGGTACAGGATGGCAACAACAACTGCCCGAGTTACACCAGGAACTCACAATCCCTCCATCAGTGCTCATCTTATGTTCATACAAATATTTACACATGTTAAGTTTTCTGAAAATAAACGCAGTTGACAGTGAGAGGACCTTTCTTTTTCTGCTGAGTTTATATTTACCCAGATAAGCACCCTAAGGGCTCGTCAGTCAGCATTTCACATTAAGGTCTACAGCTGTTGTATTCGGCGCACGTGACAAATAACAACATTTGATTTGATTTACTAAAGTTCCTACTAAAGCGTTTGGTGGTGCTGGTATCTCCTCTTCTGTTAGCTGTGTAGTACTACTCGGTGCAGGCTAGTGATGGGGGGAAAACAATCGATAGTTACATATCGGGATATTATTTTGTATCGTTTTGACAATATCACAATATAATTTTTGCACTAGTTGGCTGTACCTGCGCCCAAAAAAAACTCGCAGTATTTTTCCCTCATAGCTTGTTCTCTCATCTTCTTTTTAAATAGAGAGACAATTTGTTTTCAGCACTTTTATTTCCATGACTGATTATTATTATTTATTTGTCTTTCTCACGGCTCTCTCTTGTCTCTCTGCAGTAGATATATTTACATTTACATTTTAGTCATTTAGCAGACGCTCTTATCCAGAGCGACTTACAGGAGCAATTAGGGTTAAGTGCCTTGCTCAAGGGCACATCGGCAGATTTTTCACCTAGTCGGCTCGGGGATTAGAACCAGCGACCTTTCGGTTACTGGCACAACTCTCTTAACCACTAAGCTACCTGCCGCCCCACAATATATATAATATATATGGTGAGCAATATGTTTGGAACGTAAAATCACAGTATTGAATCGCTATACATATGGTATCGGCACCTAAGTAACGTGATAATATGGTACGGTGAGGTCCCATCCCCCTCCCCTCTCCTCTAGCTGGTCTGTACCGGCCCGGTCCAGGTCATGGTGGTCATCCGTACAGCAGGACCCTGGACCTCTGTGTCACTAAACTTCTATACTATTCTAACATATACTCTCTCCTCCCCTCTCCTGTAGCTGGTCTGTACCGCTCGGTGCAGGCCCATCGTAGCCAGTCTCGTAGGGAGGGCAGTGCCCTACAGCAGGACACTGGAGCGCTGTATGACTTTAACCAGATGTAGCTGGTCTGTACCGCTCGGTCAGGCCCATCGTAGCCAGTCTCGTAGGGAGGGCAGTGCCCTACAGCAGGACACTGGAGCGCTGTATGACTTTAACCTAGATGAGGAACTGGAGCTTGATCTGGACGAGGAGGCCATGGAGGCCATGTTTGGTCAGGACCTGGCCAGTGACACTGACATCCTGGGCATGTGGATCCCAGAGGTACTGGACTGGCCGACATGGGTGTGTGTGAGTGCAGCGGGGTGCTGCTTCTTTCCTCCCCTTTAACTCAGGGGTTCATCCTGACTTCCACTTCACTAAACATCTTGCTTTAGTGGAAGTCAGGATTTTGACTCTTAACAAATTAACTTTCACTCGCACACTCATTCACTTAGTGCTGTAAATGCTAACCATCTGCTTAGAGAGGTTGAGGCTCACACACGCTCACACACGCTCACACTATCTCCCTCTCTCTCGCTCTCACACACACACTGCGTCATGCTCTGCCATTGGCGGTGATTTCTGTCGTTAGCCTAACTAGCATGGGATGTCAATAGGGTTTGGTTGGAAACCAGATGGAATGCTAACATGCTAAGGGTGATTACAGTGGGTGGCATTGATCATCATCAATTCTTGGTGCTTGTGGTTAATTTATCAAGTCTTGGTGCTTGTGGTTAATTAATGAAGTCTTGTTGCTTGTGGTTAATTGATCAAGTCTTGCTGCGTGTGGTTAATTCGTCAAGTCTCGTTGCTTGTGGTTAATTCATCAAGTCTCGTTGCTTGTGGTTAATTCATCAAGTCTTGTTGCTTGTGGTTAATTCATCACATCTTTCGGTGCTTGTGGTTAATTCATCAAGTCTCGTTGCTTGTGGTTAATTCATCGACTGTTAGTGGCATCATGGCATTGATGACCTAGATTTAAACTGACTTTGTGTTTATGTGTGTGTCCCTCCCCTCCCCTCGCTGTCTCTGTCCCCTCCCTCCTCTCCCTGTCTCTTTTGTCCCCCCTCCGGGTCCTCCTGTCTTCCTCCCTGGTCTCGGTGTCCCTCCCTGTCTCCTCTCTGGTGTCCTCCCCCTGGTCCTCTCTGTCTTCTCTCCCTGTCTCTCGTGTCCCCTCCCTGTCTCTCTGTGTCCCTCCCTTCTCTCTGTGTCCCCTCCCTGTCTCTCTGTGTCCCCTCCCTGTTCTCGGCTGTGTCCCCTCCCTGTCTCTCTGTGTCCCCTCCCTGTCTCTCTGTGTCCCCTCCCTGTCTCTCTGTGTCCCCTCCCTGTCTCTGTGTGTCTCTGTGACCCCTCCCTGTCTCTCTGTGTCCCCTCCCTGTCTCTCTGTGTCCCCTCCCTGTCTCGGTGTCCCCTCCCTGTCTCTCTGTGACCCTCCTTCTCTCTTGTGTCCCTACCCTGTCTCTGTGTCCCCCCCCCAGGTCTCTCTGTGTCCCCTCCCTGTCTCTGTCTCCCTCCCTGTCTATTGTGTTCTCTGTGTCCCCTCCCTGTCTCTCTTTGCCCCTCCCTGTATCTCTGTGGTCCCCTCCCTGTCTCTCTGTGTCCCCTCCCCTGTCTCTGCTGTCCCTCCTTTCTCTCTGTGTCCCCTCCCTGTCTCTCTGTTTCCCCCTCCCTGTCTCTGTGTCCCCTCCCCTGTCTCCTCTGTGTCCCCCTCCCTGTCTCCTCTCCTGTGTCCCCTCCCGGTCTCTTCCTTGGTCCCCTTCCCTGTCTCTGTCTCACCTCTCCTTCTATGTGTGTCTCTGTGTCCCCCTCCCTGTCTCTCTGTGTCCCCTCCCTGTCTCTCTGTGACCCCTCCCTGTCTCTCTGTGTCCCCATCCCTCCTGTCTCTCTGTGTCCCCTCCCTGTCTCTCTGTGTCCCCTCCCTGTCTCTGTGTGTCTCTGTGTCCCCCCCTGTCTCTCTGTGTCCCCTCCCTGTCTCTCTGTCTTCTCTCCCTGTCTCTGTGACCCCTCACTGTCTCTCTGTGTCCCCCATCTCTGTCTCCCCTCCCTGTCTCTCTGTGTCCCCTCCCTGTCTCTCTGTGTCCCCCTCCCTGTCCTCTGTTCCCCTCCCTGTCTCTATTTTCCCCTCCACTGTGCGTTCTGGTTCTTCTCTCCCTGTCTCTCTGGTCCCCTATCCCTTCTCTCTGTGTCCCCCTCCCTGTCTCTCTCTGTGTCCCCTCCATGTCTCGCTGTCTCCCCTCCCTGTCCTCTGTGGTCCCCTCCCTGCTCTGGTGTCCCCAATCCCTTTCTCTGTGTCCCCTCCCACCCGGTCTCTTCTGTGGCCCCTCCCTGTACCTCTCCTCTTGTGTCCCCTCCCTGTCCTCCTCTGTGAGACCCATCCCTGTCCTCTGTGACCCCCATCCCTGGTCTCTCCGTGTCCCCTCCCTGGTTCGCTCTGTGTCCCCCTCCCTGTCACTCTCGTTTCCCCTCCCTGTCTCTCTGTGTCCCCTCCCTGTCTCTCTGTGTCCCCTCCATGTCCTCTCTGTCTTCTCTCCCTGTCCGCTTGTGTCCCCTCCCTGCTCTCTGTGTCCCTCCCGTCTCTCTCTCTCTGGTCCCCTCCCTGTCTCTCGTGTGTCCCCCTCCCTGTCTCTCTCTGTGTCCCCTCTCCCATGTACCTCCTCTGTCTCCCCTCCCTTCTCTCTCTGTGTCCCCATCGCCTGTCTCCTGTGTCCCCCATCCCTTTCTATCTGTGTCCCCCTCCTGTCTCTCTGCTCTGGTGTCCCCTCCCTGTCTCTCTGTGTCCCCTCTCTGTCTCCCCTCCCTGTCTCTCTGTGTCCCCTCCCTGTCTCTCTGTGTCCCCTCCCTGTCTCCCTGTGTCCCCTCTCTGTCTCCCCTCCCTGTGTCTCTGTGACCCCTCCCTGTCTTCTTCTGGTTTTCCCCTCCAATTCGCTCTGTGTCCCCTCTCTGTCGCCCCTCCCTGTCTACTCTTGACCCCTCCCTGTCCTCTGTGTCCCCCTCCATGTCCTCTCTGTGTCCCCTCCCTGTCGCTCTTTGTCCCCTACCTGTCTCTTCTCTGTGTCCCCTCCCTGTCTCCTCCTGTGTCCCCCTCCTGTCTCTCTGTTCCCCTCCATGTCCTCTTCTCCTGTCTCTCTCCCTGTCTCTTCTGTGTCCCCTCCCTGCTCTCGTGTCCCCAGTCCCTGTCTCTCTGTGTCCCCGAGCGTCCCTTTCTCTCTCTCTGTGTCCCCTCCCTGTCTATCTGTGTCCCGCGCCCTGTCCTCTGTCGCCCCTCCCTGTCTCTCTCTGGTGTCCCCTCCCTGTCTCTCTGTGTCCCTCCCTGGTCATCTTTGTCCCCCCCTCCCCTGTCCTCTCTTGTGTCCCCCCCCCATCCCTGTCTCTGTTGTGCCCCTCTCTGTCTCCCCTCCCCTGTCTCCCCTCCCTTTCCGCTCTGTGACCCCTCCCTGTCTCCTGTGTCCCCCTCTCTGTCTCCCCTCCCTGTCGCTCTTTGTTCCCCTCGCTGTCTCTCTCTGTCTTCTCTCCCTGTCTCTCCTTGTCCCCCTCCCCTGTCTCTCGTGGCAGTTTCCCCTCACCTTTCTCCGTCTGTGTCCCCGCCCTGTCTCTCTCTCTGTGTCCCCTCCCTGTCTATCTTGTCCCCTCCCTTTCTCGCTGTCTCCCCCTCCCTGTCTCTCTGTTCCCTCCCTGTCCTCTGGGTGCCCCTCCGCTGTCTATCTGTGTCCCCTCCCTGTCTCTCTCTCTGTTTCCCCTCCCTGCTCTCTGTGTCCCTCTCTGCTCCCCTCCCTGTCTCTCTGTCCCTCCTCCCTGCTCTCCTGTGCCCCGTCCCCTGTCTCCCTGTGTCCCCTCTCTGTCTCCCCTCCCTGTGTCTCTGTGACCCCTCCCTGTCTCTCTGTGTCCCCTCCCTGTCTCTCTCTGTTCCCCTCCTGTCTCCATCCCCTCCCTGTCTCGCTGTGACCCAGCCTCCCTTCTCTCTGTGTCCCCTCCATGTCTCTCTGTCTTCTCTCCCTGTCTCTCTGTGTCCCCTCCCTGTCTCTCTGTGTCCCCCTTCCCTGTCTCTCTGCATCTGTGTCCCCAAGTCCCTGTCGTCTCTGTGTCCCTCCCTCGTTCTCATCTTCTTTTTCCCCTCCCTGTCCTCTTTCTCCCTCTCCCCTTCCCTGGTCTCTCTTTGTCCCCTTCCCCTGTCTCCTCTTGTCCCATCCCTGTCTCTCTGTGTCCCCTCCCCTGTCTCTTCTCTGTGTTCCCTCTATGTCGCCCCTCCCTGTCTCTCTGTGACCCTGTCCTGTCTCTCTTTGTGTCCCCTCCCCTCCCGTCTCCCTGTTTCCCTCTCTGTCTCCCCTCCCTGTGTCCTCTGTCCCCCTCCCTGTCTCTCTGTGTCCCCTCCCTGTCTCATCCCTTGTCCCCTCTCTTGTCTCCCCCTCCCTGTCTCTCTCTGTGACCAGCTGTTGACCGCCCTCCCCCCTTCTCTCTTGTGTCCCCTCCCTGTCTCTCTGTGTCCCCTCCCTGTCTCTCTGTGTCCCCTCCCTGTCTCCTGTGACCCCTCCCTGTCTCTGTGTCCCCTCCCTGTCTCTCTGTGTCCCCTCCCTGTCTCTCTGTGTCCCCTCCCTGTCTCTCTGTCTCCCCTCCCTGTCTCTCTGTCTCCCCTCCCTGTCTCTGCGTGTCCCTCGCAGCATGTGTGTGAGACAGAGGAACGAGACGAGGTGGTAGTGTGTGTAGTTGTGTGAGGCCAGCGTTGCCAACTTCAACCAGCACATGAAGAAGACCCACCCTGGCTGCGGGCGCAGTGCCAACCGACAGGGCTACCGGAGCAACGGGTCCTACGTAGACGGATGGTTCGGTGGGGAGTGTGGCAGTGGCACCCCACCTACCCGAGGAAGGGCGGTGGGGCGAACACTGTGTCCTCTGGCTGCGGTAGCTGCCGGGACAAACACCTGGCGGTCAAGAGTAAAACCACAGTCCCCGTGATGGAGAGGTCAGTGGCAGACAGAAGGTGACACTCAATTAAACACTACGCTTTTAATACAGACAATGACATGTACAGCTGAAACTAAGATTCAATACACACTGTATCACAGTGACGAGATGACGATCTAATCACTGACGTGTTGTGGTCCATGTTCAGATATAAGGGACAGGCTCCGGACCTCTTGGGCAAGCAGGACAGTGTCTATGAAGGTAATGGTTATGATTTAAAAAGATGATGATTGAATTGTTCCAGAGTTTCTTGTTCCTGACCCTCTGAATGAATAGTTCACTGCAGCTTTATGGCTGATAGTATGACTGTGGTATTCTCTATAACCACGTGGCTGATAGTATGACTGTGTTATTCTCTATAACCATGGCTGATAGTATGACTGTGGTATTCTCTATAACCATGTGGCTGATAGTTAATGACTGTGGTATTCTCTATAACCATGTGGCTGATAGTTTACTTGTTACCTTTAACCCGTGGCTGATGTTGACTGGGGTTTTTTTTTAAAACCATTGGCTGATAGTTATTTGGGGTATTCTCTAAAACCCCCGGGGCTGATGTTACTGTGTTTTTCTCTATAACCAGGCTGATAGTATGACGTGGTTTCCAAAAACCGTGGCATAGTTACTGGGGTATTCTCTATAACCACTGGCTGATATTGACTGGGGTTTCTCTATAACCACGTGGCTGATAGTATGACTGTGGTATTCTCTATAACCAGGGGCTGTAGTATACGTGGTATTCTCTATAAACCAGTGGCTGTGTATCTGTGGTATTCTCATAACCAGTGGCTGATGAGACTGTGTTTTCTCTATACCAGGGGCGATAGTATCTGTGTTTTTCTCTATCCCAGGGGCTGATGTATATGTGTTTTCTCTATAACCTGGCTGAAGTTGACTGGGTATTCTCTATCCGTGGCTGATAGTATGACGTGTTTATTCCTAAACCCGTGGCTGATAGTATGACTGTGTTTTTCTCTACCCCCCTTTGATAGTATGACTGTTGGTATTCTCTAAACCCGGGGCGTAGAGCCTTTGTTTCCTAAACCACGGGCTGTGTATACGGGTTTTCCAAACCATTGGCTTTTTATGAGTGGAAACCAAAACCCAGGGGAAACGTTGGTATCTTTGGTTTTTTTTAACCATTTTTGGGATAGTTACGTTTACCATAAAAAAATGGTGTTAAAAAATGGGGTTTATTCTCTATAACCAATTGCGAAGTTCTGTGTTTTTTTCTTAACCACGTGCTGTGGTATGACGTGGTTTCCTATCCCTTGGTGAAGTAAACGGACCCCATCCCAAGGCTAAGATGACGTGGTATACCCTATAACTGGACATGTGATGTTGGGTAGTGACTGTAGAGTTGACTCTGGCGGGTTGGTCTAGTGAGCGCCGTCGTCCAGAGCCTCGTCCTGACAGCGACCCGCTGGGGGCGTCCGTAGCCATGGTGACCGCCACCAACAGCATGGAGGAGACCCTGTTGCGATAGTGAGGCTAACCACAACAGAGAGAGGACAGTACTGATTAATACACGTCTGTGTTTTGTTTACCCAATAGTTGATTAGTTCATATTAACAAAGTCTTTGCACATATGATTTGGTCAAGATGGCGATTGTATGGTCCCTCTGTAGGGGGGGGGGGGGGGGGGTCAGTTCCCTGTCTTTCTATATTGTGTCTCAGTTGTTGTGTGTTAGCTTCAACACTGTGTCTGTGTGTGTCTTTCCCAGGCTGCCACGGCTCGGTGGAGAACAGCTCCTCCAGCAGGGTGACTCTGGGTGAGCAGGCTGCAGCGCTGCAGAACCCCCATGACAGCATGGCTCTGAGGAGAGTGACCTCTGCAGCTCAGGTCCCTGGCCAGGACCATGGTGATGAGAGCCCTGTCTCTGCTCTCTGTCAGGTGGGTCTTGTCTGTAGGACTGGGGTGCTAGGGTAGGACTGGGGTAGCTGGTGTAGGACTGTGTGTAGACTGGTGTATAGGGGACTGTGTGTAGGCTAGGTGTAGGACTGTGTGTAGCTAGGTAGACGGTGTAGACTAGGGTAGGACTGGTGTAGGCTAGGTGTAGGACTGTGGTAGCAGGTGTAGACTGTGTTAGTCTGTGTGTAGGACTGTTGTAGGCTGGGGTAGGACTGGTGTAGGGCAGGTGTAGGACTGTGTTTAGGCTAGGTGTAGGACTGTGTGTAGCTAGGTTGTAGGACTTGTGTAGGCTAGGTGTAGGACTGTGTGTGGCTAGGTGTAGGACTGTGTGTAGGCTAGGTGTAGGACTGTGTGGAGCTAGTGTAGGACTGTTGTAGGCTAGGTGTAGGACTGTGTGTAGGCTAGTGTAGACTAGGTGTGGCTGTGTGTAGGCTAGGTGTAGACTGTGTGTAGGCTAGGTGTAGGACTGTGTGTAGGCTAGGTGTAGGACTGTGTGTAGGCTAGGTGTAGGACTGTGTGTAGGCTAGGTGTAGGACTGTGTGTAGGCTAGGTGTAGGACTGTGTGTAGGCTAGGTGTAGGACTGTGTGTAGGCTAGGTGTAGGACTGTGTGTAGGCTAGGTGTAGGACTGGTGTAGGCTAGGTGAGACTAGGTGTAGGACTGTGTGTAGCTAGGTGTAGGACTGTGTGTAGACTAGGTGTAGGACTGTGTGTAGGCTAGGTGTAGGACTGTGTGTAGGGCTAGGTGTAGGACTGTGTGTAGACTAGGTGTAGGACTGTGTGTAGACTAGGTGTAGGACTGTGTGTAGGCTAGGTGTAGGACTGTGTGTAGGCTAGGTGTAGGACTGTGTGTAGGCTAGGTGTAGGACTGTGTGTAGGCTAGGTGTAGGACTGTGTGTAGGCTAGGTGTAGGACTGTGTGTAGGCTAGGTGTAGGACTGTGTGTAGGCTAGGTGTAGGACTGTGTGTAGGCTAGGTGTAGGACTGTGTGTAGGCTAGGTGTAGGACTGGGTGTAGGGCTAGGTGTAGGACTGTGTGTAGGCTAGGTGTAGACTAGGTGTAGGACTGTGTGTAGACTAGGTGTAGGACTGTGTGTAGGCTAGGTGTAGGACTGTGTGTAGGCTAGGTGTAGGACTGTGTGTAGGACTAGGTGTAGGACTGTGTGTAGACTAGGTGTAGGACTGTGTGTAGACTAGGTGTAGACTAGGTGTGTGGACTGTGTGTAGACTAGGTGTAGGCTGTGTAGACTGTGTGTAGGACTAGGTGTGGGACTGTGTGTAGACTAGGTGTAGGACTGTGTGTAGGCTAGGTGTAGGACTGTGTGGTAGGACTGTGGTGTAGGCTAGGTGTAGGACTGTGTGTAGGCTAGGTGTAGGACTGTGTGTAGGCTAGGTGTAGGACTGTGTGTAGGCTAGGTGTAGGACTGTGTGTAGACTAGGTGTAGGACTGTGTGTAGACTAGGTGTAGGACTGTGTGTAGACTAAGTGTAGGACTGTGTGTAGGCTAGGTGTAGGACTGTGTGTAGACTAAGTGTAGGACTGTGTGTAGGCTAGGGGTAGGACTGTGTGTAGGCTAGGTGTAGGACTGTGTGTAGGCTAGGTGTAGGACTGTGTGTAGGCTAGGTGTAGACTGTGTGGTAGGTAGTGTAGGACTGTGTGTAGGCTAGGTGTAGGACTGTGTGTAGACTAGGTGTAGGACTGTGTGTAGGCTAGGTGTAGGACTGTGTGTAGACTAGGTGTAGGGCTAGGTGTATGACTGTGTGTAGGCTAGGTGGTTAGGACTGGTGTGTAGGGCTAGGTGTAGGACTGTGTGTAGGCTAGGTGTAGGACTGTGTGTAGGGCTAGGTGTAGGACTGGGGTAGGCTAGGTGTAGGACTGTGTGTAGGCTAGGTGTAGGACTGTGTGTAGGCTAGGTGTAGGACTGGGTGTAGGCTAGGTGTAGGACTGTGTGTAGGCTAGGTGTAGGACTGTGTGTAGGCTAGGTGTAGGACTGTGTGTAGGCTAGGTGTAGGACTGTGTGTAGGCTAGGTGTAGGACTGTGTGTAGGCTAGGTGTAGGACTGTGTGTAGGCTAGGTGTAGGACTTGTGTAGGCTAGGTGTAGGACTGTGTGGTAGGCTAGGTGTAGGACTGTGTGTAGGCTAGGTGTAGGACTTGTGTAGGCTAGGTGTAGGACTGTGTGTAGGCTAGGTGTAGGACTCTGTGTAGGCTAGGTGTAGGACTGTGTGTAGGCTAGGTGTAGGACTGTGTGTAGGGCTAGGTGTAGGACTCTGTGTAGGCTAGGTGTAGGACTGTGTGTAGGGCTAGGTGTAGGACTCTGTGTAGGCTAGGTGAAGGCTAGGTGTCTGTGGTCTGTATATACACTGAGTGTACAAAACATCCCTGTGGAACACCTTCCTAATATTGAGTTCCACCCCCTTTTGCCCTCAGAACAGCCTCAATTTGTCGGGGCAGGGACTCTACAAGGTGTCGAAAGCGTTCCACAGGGATGCTTGGCCCATGTTGACTCCAATGCTTCCCACAGTTACACACGGGAAACTGTTGAGCATGAAAAACCCAGCAGCGTTGCAGTTCTTGACACACTCAAACCGGTGCGCCTGGCACTTACTACCATACCCCGTTCAAAGGCACTTCAATATTTTGTCTTGCCCATTCACCCTCTGAATGGCACACATACACAATCCATGTCTCAAGGCTTAAACATCCTTCTTTAACCTGTCTCCTCCCCTTCATCTACACTGATTGAAGTGGATTTAACAGGTGACATCAATAAGGGATCATAGCTTGGTCACCTGGTCATTCTATGTCATGGAAAGAGCAGGTGTTCCTAATGTTTTGTACACTCACTGTATGTAACCGCTGCAGCTGTCTGTCTGTCTCTGCTCTCTGTCAGGTAGGACATCACTCTCTCTCTCTCTCTCTCTCTCTCTCTCTCTCTCTCTCTCTCTCTCTGTCTCTCTCTCTCTCTCTCTCTATCTCGCTCCTCGTCCCTCTCCTCTCTCTCCTCTCTCTCTCTCTCTGTCTCTCTCTCCTCTCTCTGTCCTCGTCCTGTGTCTCCTCTCTCTCTGTCTCTGTCTTCCCCTGGCGGTCTCGCTCTCCTCTCTCTCTCTCTGTCTCTCCCTGTCTCTGTCTGTCTCTCTCTCTCTCTGTCTCCGTGGTGTCTCTCCATCTCTCTTCATCCATCTCATCTTTCACTGTGTGTTTAGTTGGTGTCAGTGTATAAGGGGGAACTGCATGACAAAGTACTGTATGTTTATGAGTATGTCCTTCTGTGCACAGTGAGCCAATCACCTGAGTCTCTCTCTCTCAGTGGTTCTAGCTGCAGCCTGGCAGCAGGGTTGGAGTCCCTGGGTCTGACAGACATCAGGACCCTGGTCCGGCTGATGTGTCTGGCTGCGGCAGGGCGAGCCGGCCTCTCCACCAGCCCTGCAGCTGGCTCGGGGGCCTCCGAGCGGCCCCGCGGGGCCACCAAGGCCAGCAAACCTATCTCCTGCCTGGCATATCTCAGTACGGCCGTTGGCTGTCTGGCCTCCAACAGTCCCAACGCTGCCAAGCTGCTGGTCCAGCTCTGCACACAGGTGACGACGGGGACACAGCTCAGACTCACACAAAGATCATAGACTCACAGCTCAGACTCACACAAAGATCATAGACTCACAGCTCAGACTCACACAAAGATCATAGACTCAAAGAGAAGGAGAAAGACGGACACACAGCTCAGACTCACACAAAGATCATAGACTCACAGCTCAGACTCACACAAAGATAATAGACTCACAGCTCAGACTCACACAAAGATAATAGACTCACAGCTCAGACTCACACAAAGATCATAGACTCACAGCTCAGACTCACACAAAGATCATAGACTCACAGCTCAGACTCACACAAAGATCATAGACTCACAGCTCAGACTCACACAAAGATCATAGACTCACAGCTCAGACTCACACAAAGATCATAGACTCAAAGAGAAAGAGAAAGTTACAAGTTCTCTGCTGCACTCAACGACTTTCAAAAAGACAGGAAATTCAAGTCAGTACAACCTTAGTCCTCACCGCCACACTTATGAAAATACTTAACTTGACCTATACACTATGGAAGCTGCTCGGCAAATCATCCTGTGTTAAATCATCACTGGCTGTGTTCAATTTAACACTGGTCCAGTGTCTATACGGGTCCACACTTTTCAGTGTTAAATGAACACTGCTTAGTGTAAAGCCTTATTTGCATATTTCCCAGACTGCCTTGCCTTCCGAGTGAATTGTAGTTACATGACTTGTATTTGTTAGTGACAGAGACGTGATTGTTGCAGTCATTTTCTTGGTCCTGTGGGTTTCACCAAGTGAGATCCTAAGCGAATATGTTATATCATTCAAATTCTTCAATACAATACAACACGTGTTTAATGAGGCCTTATTTTGAGGACATCGTTTTACCCTAATACAGTAGCCTGAAAGTCCCATTATGATGGTTTGCAAAGTGATGTGTAATTGTTATTGCAATCCAGCCAGAGTGGAGATATCCAACATTTGGAATTGTTATTCTCCCACAACCTGCATTCAGATTGACTAAGATATGAGACTTCCTAAACCATCTAAACTGGAATAACCATTTCAGTAACGGCTGCAATAAGTCCAACTAACAGATTGGATTAGTTTAGAAAAATTTATGTTATCTATATTTGAGTAGTGTAAGATGAATTATTCAATCAACATAGATATTGAAAAAAAAAAACGATTCTAAAAATCAACCTGCGATAGAGCATGCTGGGAATTATGATAATGATGGGCATGGTTTTGATTTAACACTGGTTATTAACACCAACACTGGGGTTATTTTACACCATGTAGTGTTAATTTAAGACCTACAGAGTTCATTTAACACCTGAATCAACACTAGAAATGTTACACTGAAAAATCAATACTAGGTAACACTGGCCAATTTGCTGTGTACAATACAGATAGTGTACAATACAGATAGTGTACAATACAGATAGTGTACAATACAATACAGATAGTGTACAATACAGATAGTGTACAATACAGATAGTGTACAATACAATACAGCTAGTGTACAATACAGATAGTGTACAATACAGCTAGTGTACAATACAGATAATGTACAATACAGATAGTGTACAATACAGATAGTGTACAATACAGATAGTGTACAATACAATACAGCTAGTGTACAATACAGATAGTGTACAATACAGATAGTGTACAATACAGCTAGTGTACAATACAATACAGATAGTGTACAATACAGATAGTGTACAATACAGATAGTGTACAATACAGATAGTGTACAATACAATACAGATAGTATACAATACAGATAGTGTACAATACAGCTAGTGTACAATACAGATAATGTACAATACAGATAGTGTACAATACAGATAGTGTACAATACATACAGATAATGTACAATACAGATAGTGTACAATACAGATAGTGTACAATACAATACAGATAGTGTACAATACAGATAGTGTACAATACAATACAGATAGTGTACAATACAGATAGTGTACAATACAGATAGTGTACAATACAATACAGATAGTGTACAATACAGATAGTGTACAATACAATACAGATAGTGTACAATACAATACAGATAGTGTACAATACAGCTAGTGTACAATACAGATAGTGTACAATACAGATAGTGTACAATACAGATAGTGTACAATACAGATAGTGTAGCTCTTGATCCAATAACTTCCTTCCTTCTGCACCACTAATGTACTTCCACTATCTCTTCACTAATACTCACCTGTAGCAAAAGGTTGGCTGGTCCTCATTAAAGTCCCGTAGATCAAATCATTATTCCTGTTTGATTTACAAATCCCTACTACATAAGCTTCCATCTTATCTAACTTCGTTGCTAACGTTTAAAAGAACGAGCTCCGTCTCGCAGGATTGGTTAACTCTTGAGGTCCCTCTGGTCTCGACCAATTTAGGTAAATCCTCCTTTAGTTTAAGTGCCCCCCCCCCCCCCCCCATTAGTTGGAATAACATACAACATTCCTTGCATCTTGATTCCCTGGTGCCTCTAGGGCAGTTTAGGACTGATTGCAGTGGTTTTATTATGTAGACATTGTGGTGTTGACAGTCCCATCCAGTGTGTTGGGGTTAGGGTTGATCAGACTGTTCTAGAACCTGTATATCTATCTATCTCTCTCTAGAACCTGATCTCGGCGGCAACGGGGATGAACCTGACCACGGTAGACGACCCCATCCGGAGGAAGTTCCTCCCCAGCTTCCTGAGGGGCGTGGCCGAGGAGAACAAGCTCGTGACGTCGCCCAACTTCGTGGTGACCCAGGCCCTCGTGGCGCTGCTGGCCGATAAAGGGGCCAGGCTCAGACCCAACTACGACAAGGCTGACATGGAGAGAAGAGGTCTGTAGACCTGGAGGCAGCCACACTGTCGTCCTCATACATTGTCTGTCATTGACATTTCGTTATCACGCGTCGTCATATTCAATAGAATTTTTGTAATGACTTGTGTGTCAGTTTGTTTGTAAACATTTGCATTTGGGATGAATAAAGATATTTTTCAGCTCATTAGAATTAGATTTAAGAAACGGTTAAAGGGGCCAGTGATTGTAGACTTGTAGTCGCCTCGCATTTAATATCGGATGACAGTACACGCAAACACGTAGCTACTAGCTATTGTTATCAGCTGGTGCTAGCCACCATAGTCCCCATTCTAGTTGTCATTATTACCATACTGTTTGTACCATGCATTGTGTTATGTTATGATTTTGATTCTCTCATCTCTTCCCCAAATCACTCCCCCTATTCCTTCTTTCCCACCTTGTTTCGTTCCGGCAGGTCTAATTGCACATTTGTATACCAATCCTTCCTATAATTCCACTGCTGTAGGGCCGCTTGAGCTGGCCAACGCGCTGGCGGCGTGCTGCCTGTCTTCTCGCCTGTCCTCGGGCCACCGCCAGTGGGCCGCTCAGCAGCTGGTCCGCACGCTGGCCGCTCACGACAGAGACAACCAGAGCCGGCCGCAGACCTTTGCCGACATGGCGGGTGACCTGCGCAAATGCTCTTCTGTGAAGTTGGAGGCTCACCAGAGCAGGGTGAGCACTGGAGGGTTAGGGTGGAGGGGTTAGGGTGGAGGGTTAGGGTGGAGGAGTTAGGGTGGAGGGGGGTATAGGGTTAGGTCGAGGGGTATAGAGTGGGTTAGGGTTAGAGGGTAGGGTAGAGGGTCTAGGTAGAGGTAGGGTGGAGGGTTTAGGGTGAGGGGTTAGGTTAGGGTTAGGGTGGAGGTTAAGTGAGGAGGGTTAGGGTGGAGGGTTGGGTGGGAGGGTAGAAGGGTTAGGGTGGGAGGGTTAGGGTGGAGAGTTGGGTTGAGGGTCAGGTAGAGGGTTAGGGTGGAGGGTTAGGGTAGAGGGTTAGGGTAGAGGGTTAGGGTGGAGTGGTAGGGGGTAGGGGTTAGGGCTTGGGTTGGGTCATTGAGTTAGGGGTTGGCGGTTTTGAGGGGTTGGGTGGGTTATGGGGTTAGGTGAGGTTAGGGTGAGGGTTTAGGTAGAGGGGTTTTTTGTGGGGTTTTTGGGTAGGGTTTAAAGGGGTTTGGGTGAGGTCAGGTAAGTTAGGTGAGGGTAGGGTTAGGGTTAGGGTGGAGGGTTAGGTGGTGGGTTAGGGTGAGGGGGGGGGGCTGCCACATTTGTCCCCATTTTTCTTTTTTTTTTTTTTTTTTTTTTTGTCGGGTATAGGTTTAAAAAAAAAAAAAAAAGGGGGAGGGCGGGGGGTTGGGGGGGTTTTTTTACCAGGGGGGGGGGGGGGGCATTGGGTTTTGGTTGGGGGGTTTGGGGGATTGGTTGAGGTTTTGGGGGGGGGGGGGGTTTTTTTTTTTTTTTTTTCCTTTTCTTTTTTGGTGGGGAGTTTAGGGTTTTTGGGGGGTTTTGTGAGGGTAAGTCTTTGTTTTCCTGATTATTGGTTAGGCGTTGAGTTTTGGTTCCCGGTTGTTTGTTGGCTGGTTGTTTTCTTCTTTTTCGTCATGGGTCTTTTCTGCGTTCATTGTCCCCTTCCGTTGAACACTTTTCCACATTGGTACCTTAAATTCTCTTTTTTGACCACAGACTTGATTCTATTAAGGTTTTTTCTTGTTAGATTCTTTTTTTTGAATTATTAGTCTTAATTTTACCCCTTTTTTCCTTTAATTTCTTTACTCCTTTTAACCCCTTACCCTTTTTTTTCTTCTATTCTAGTGTTTTCCCCTCGCTGGGGGAGTTTTAAAAATTTTGGGTGGAGGGTTTTTATACCCCCCTCCCCTTAATTATCCAATTTATTTTAAATTAGGGATTTATTTGGGTTTTTGTTTTAATTTATTTATTTAATTTGGTATTTATTTGGGTTTATGGTTACCCTTAATCTTATCTTAACCCCCTTCATTTTATAGGTTAGGGGGTTTTGGGGTATTCCCTTTATTTTATTTTTCCCCCCTTTCCGCTTTACCTTCAACCCCTCTTTCCCTTCCTAGTTACTCCCCGTTATTCTACTTTCGATTCTTTCTCCCTTTACTCCTTTTTTATTCCTAAATACCCCCCCTCTATTTTAAAGGCCCTTCTCTTCCCCCCTTGCCTTCATTCCCAACGGTCTCACTTTTCAAAATACCACTCGCCCTTAAAATATCCCCGCCCCTCACTCCCCTTTTCTTTACACCCTTCTTCCTCCTTCTTCCCCCTCCTATTTCCTAATTCTGTTCCTTTGGGGTCCCAACTCCCTCCCCTCCCCCTCCAGACCCTCCCCTTTTTCTACTTTCCCTCTCCAACCCTCTCCCCCCTTCCCCTCTCTCCCCCCTCTTAGCCCCCCTCTCTCCCTCTCTACCCCCCTCTCTCCCCCCTCTCTCCCCTCTACTCCCTCTCAACCCCCTCTCTTCCCCCCTCTCCCTCTCTACCCCCCTCTCTTCCCCCCCTCTCTCCCCTCTCTCTACCCCCTCCTACCCCCCTCTCCCCCCTCTCTCCCTCTCCCCTCTCCCCAAACCCCCTCTCTTTTTCCCCCCTCTACTCCCCTCTCTACCCCCTCTCCCCCCCTCTCTCCTTCCCCTCTCTCCTCCCCTCTCCTACCCCCTCTCTCTTCCCCTCCTCCCCCCCCTCTACCCCCCCTCCCCACCCCCTCTCTGCTCCCCCCTCTACTCCCCTCTCTACCCCTTCTCCCTACCCCCCTCTCTTCTCCCCCTTTCTCCCCCTCCCCCTACCCCCTCTCTCCCCCTCTCTACCCCCTCTCTGCTCCCCCCACTTCCCCCTCTCTCTCCCCCTCTCCCTTCCCCTCGTCTTCCCCTCTCTCCCCCCCTTTTCTCTACCCCTCTATCCCCCCTCTCTGCTCCCCCTCTACCCCCTCTTCCCCCCTCTCTACCCCTTCTACCCCCTCTCTACCCCCTCTCTACCCCCCCCCCCACCCCCCTCTCTTCTCCCCCTCTCTACCCCCTCTCTACCCCCTCTCTACCCCCTCTCTATTTCCCCTCTCTACCCCTCTCACCACCCCCTCTCTACCCCCTCTCTACCCCCCCCTTTTCTCCCCCTCTCCCCCCCCTCTACCCCCCTCTCAAAACTCCCTCTCCCCTCTACCCCCTCTCTACCCCCTCTCTGCTCCCCCTCAAACCCCCTCTCTACCCCCTCTCTACTCCCTCTCTACTCCCTCTCTACCCCCTCTCTACCCCTCTCAACCCCCCTCTCTACCCCGCCTCTACTCCCTCTCAAACCCCCCTCTCTACCCCTCTCTACTCCCTCTCTACCTCTTACCCCCTCTCTGCTCCCCCTCTACCCCCTCTCTACTCCCTCTCTACCCCTCTCTACCCCCCTCTACCCCTCCTCCCCTCTAACCCCTCTCAAACCCCCTCTCTACTCCCCTCTCTAACCCCCTCTCATACCCCCCTCTCTCTCCCCCCTCTATCCCCTCTCAAACCCCTCTCTACCCCTTCTACCCCCTCTCTACCCCCTCTCTACGCCCCCTCTCTACCCCCTCTCTACTCCCTCTCCCCCTCTACCCCTCTCTACCCCCCCTCTTTTACCCCCCTCTACCCCCTCTCTACCCCCTCTCCCCCCTCCTACTCCCTCTCTACCCTTTTACCCCCTCTCTACTCCCCTCTCTCCCCCTCCCCCCCTCCTACCCCCTCTCTACCCCCTCTCTATTTTTCCCTCTCAAACCCCCTCTCTCCCCTCCCCCTCTCTACCCCTCCTCTCCCCTCTCCTCCCCCCTCTACCCCCCTCTCTCCCCCCCTCTCCCCCCCTCTTCCCCCTCTCTACCCCCCTTTCCCCCTTTTCACCCCCCTCTTCTCTACCCCCTCTCTACCCCCCTCTCCCCCCCCCCCTCTCTACTCCCCTCTCTACCCCCTCTCTACTCCCCTTCTCTACCCCCTCTCTACTCCCCTCTCTACCCCCTCTCTACTCCCCCTCTCTACCCCCCCTCTCTACCCCCCCTAACCCCCTCTCCCCTCTCTACTCCCCTCTCTACTCCTGGGAAAATGGCATGATTAGACCGAGTCCTTCAGACAGAACCCACAGACATCTCTGTAACACACTCACTTTGTAATAGGAACTCCAGAGGGCATTTATCTAACAACAAGCAGCTGTGGGAGTTTTTTAAGTGGATCTTTTCTGGCGGTGTGTTTGTGTCTACAGTTTCTCTGTCTGTCTGATAGGTGAATTGAGGGTAATTCATAGCAGTGCTCTTACGTCTGAAATTGTTAGATTATCATTGAGGGTAATTTTATGTATTGTCCCAGGTGATGTCCGTGTCTGGCTGGCTGGCTGATAACCCAGGGTCATTTTCAGTTCATCTATGTAGGCCTCATAAAGCGTTTATGAAGACTTTGTTATAATGTGTGTTTAAAGTTTGACTATGTGTATAGATAAATGAGAATCGTTATGTGTTGCATAGTACAGGCCTTATAGAGAGTTGATGAAGACCTTTTAAAGGGTCATGGATACTTAATTTACACCTTGACGGTATTACTTAGTTTACAGTGAAACCTTGTGTGTTTTCTCCAGGTGATCACGTGTGGTTGGTGCAGTAAAAAAGGCCTGTTGGCCACCAGCGGCAACGATGGAACCGTCCGAGTGTGGAGCGTTACTAAGAACCAGTACACCCTCCAACAGACCTGCATCTTCAACAGAAGGTAAGCAGCACTGCTAACCTCTGACCTCTGACCTCTGAAGACATGCTTAATATGCATTAAACCACAGCATTTGCTTTGCTTTGACCAAAACACAGACTAGCTTTCAGTCTACTACAGACTACAGACTTCTCTAACCCTAACCCTTTCAGTCTACTACAGACTACAGACTTCTCTAACCCTAACCCTTTCAGTCTATCAGACTACAGACTTCTTTTAACCCTAAACCCCTTTTAGTCTAAAATACAGACTTCTCTAACCCTAACCCTTTCAGTCTACTACAGACCCGACTTCTCTAACCCTAACCCTTTCAGTCTACTACAGACTACAGACTTCTCTAACCCCTAACCCTTTCAGTCTACTACAGACTACAGACTTCTCTAACCCTTTCAGTCTACTACAGACTACAGACTTCTCTAACCCTAACCCTTTTTAGTCCTAAATACAGACTTCAACTTTTCTCTAACCTCTAACCCTTTCAGTCTACTACAGACCCCAACCTCAAAAACCCCTTTTAGTCTACTACAGACTCCTCTAACCCTAACCCTTTCAGTCTACTACAGACTACAGACTTCTCTAACCCTAACCCTTTCAGTCTACTACAGACTTCCCTAACCCTTTCAGTCTACTACAGACTACAGACTTCTCTAACCCTAACCCTTTCAGTCTACTACAGACTACAGACTTCTCTAACCCTAACCCTTTCAGTCTACTACAGACTTCTCTAACCCTAACCCTTTCAGTCTACTACAGACTACAGACTTCTCTAACCCTAACCCTTTCAGTCTACTACAGACTACAGACTTCTCTAACCCTAACCCTTTCAGTCTACTACAGACTACAGACTTCTCTAACCCTAACCCTTTCAGTCTACTAAAGACTACAGACTTGTCTAACCCTTTCAGTCTACTAAACCAACTTTACAAATTTTGTTGTGTTTTCTCCCCCCTTGTTACCGCTCCAATTCTTTTTCAGTTACTACAGACACGTTGTCCCTAATTCACCCAACTTGTCTTTCCTACCCCACCCTTATTAATCAGACTACTTTACTAAAAACCCTTGTCTACTGAGATAAGGTTTCTACTTCTAGGATACTAACTAAGCTTCTCTAATAATCAGTTTTCTAAAGACTACATTTATTTAAACCCTATTTGTTTGTGTCCCCCCCTTTGTTTGCTGGTTCTCTCCTCTTGTTTCCCCGTGTTTTTTTCCTTTTTTGTGTTTCTCTCCCCTTTGTTTGCTGTTTTTTCCCTCTTTGTCTCTGTGTTTTTTTTCTCCTCCCCTTTGTTTGGTGTTCTCTTCCCCCTTTGTCTCTGGTGGGTGTTCTCTCCCTTTGTTTGTGGTGTTCTCTTTTTTTGTCTCTCCCCGTTTTTTTTGTCTCTGTTTTTTTGTTTGTGTTCTCTCCCCCTTTTGTTTGTGTTTCTCCTTTGTTTGTTTTTTGTTCCCCGTTGTTTTCCCCCCCTTTGTGTGTGTTTCTCCCCAATTTTGTTTGTGTTTCTCCCCTTTGTTTGTGTTTTTTGTTGTTTTGTTGTTTTTCCTTGTTGGTGTTTCCTCTCTTTTGTTTGTCTTTTTTTTTGTTTGTTCCTTTTCTTCCCCCCTTTGTTGTGTGTTTTTTTGTTTTGTTTTTGGTTCGTTTGTTTTTTTTTTTTTTTTTTTGTTTTTGTGTTCCTCCCCCTCTGTTGGGTTTTGTGTTTTTTTGTGTTTGGTGTTTTTTTTTGTCTTGGCCGTTTCCCCAATTAGGTCTCTAAGAGGTCATCTTTTCCCCCCCAGGCTACACCCCAGCTTCCTCTCCCTCCCCTTCGGTCTCTCAGGTAAAACTTCTCTCCCTAACCTTTCACTCTCACAAACTAAGACTTCCTAACTAACACTTTTGTCTACACAGACACAGACCTTCTCTCATAACCCAACTTCAACTACTACATCAACATAAATCCCTAACCCGACCAGCACTACAACTTTCAACCCTTCATTACTACAAATACACTCATACCCAACTTTTTTCACACAGACCCCTAACCCCATCTACTACAACTACAACCAACCCAACCCCAGCTACTACAACTACAACTTCTCATAACCACCCAACCCTTTTTTCATACAAAACAGACCCCTAACCAACCTCATCTAACGCAACACAGACACCCAACCCAACCCTTCATCACTACAAACACCAACAGACCGAACCCCTTGACCCCCTAACCATACACACTGCCACCACTTACACACCTTTTTCCACTACCACAGAACACACACAGGGAAAAACAATTCACAGAAGGGCCACACTTTTTCAAATGAACACTAACTGAACCCAGAAAACCCCCCTAAATAACCCCCACATTTTTTGACACCCTTTTTTCCCCTTTTTTGGGGGGCCCTTTTTTCCCTTTTTTCGTGTGTGTTGTGTGTGTGTGTGTGTGTGTCGTGTGTAGTGTGCTGTGTGTGTGTGTGTGTGTTCGTGTGTGTGTGGTTTGTGGGGTTGTGGTGTGTGTTTTGTTGTGGTGTGTGTGTGCTCGTGTGGGTGTGGGTGGGTTGGTGCTGTCCTGTCCCAGTGATGGTCTCCAGAGGAGGGTGGCATGTCTTGGTTCCCCAGGCACCCAGTCGTCCTCTGGTCTGAGCTCTCAGGGAATACTCGCATGAGAAATAGCAACACGCAGGTCACTAGACACATACTACTACTGACTACACACAGACACAGAAACATACCAACATCATCAACATACACACCATACAACACATACAACATAATACATACATACATACATAACACACACTACATACAACATACATACATACAAAAACACACGACATCAACACATCACTACATACATACACATACAGACACACACCATACTACACAACAACATACATCCAGACACACACATACACAACACGACACACACAACACACACAACAACACATACACTACATACATACACATACACACCAACACAACAAACATCACACACACACCACACACAGACACACACATCCACCACAACACCAACAGACCACCACACACAGACACCACACATACACACAGACACACACACACACACACATACACACAGACACAGACACATACATACATACATACATACATACATACATACACACACATACACACACAGACACACACACACACACAGACACACACATACTGTAGCTATTCGAGGTTCAGAAACCTTTTTTAATTTGTATTTGTATTTTTTTTTACCTTTAACTAGAATTGCTGTATGTTTGATCAAGCCACGTTTATGGAAGACACTTATATTGAATAGTTTAAAAGAATGTGTTTTTTGGTGGAAGCTTTGTATTAGCTTGTGTTTTAGCCCTCTGAGCGTCTTCTATCAGAGTGTTGGAGGTCTGTGTAGTGCAGGTGGGAAACATATTAACAATTGATTTTCTCCAGTAAAGTTTGATAGGCCTTGGGGCTCTCATCACCAGGCTCTGCTGGCGTCCCAAATGGCACCCTATTCCCTTCTAAGTGCACTACTTTTGACCGGAGCCATCCATATAGTCCCTGGTCAAAAGGAGTGCGCTGTAGAGGGATAAGGGTGCCATTTGAGACTCGGGCTCTGTTTCCAGGATGGAGCCCTAGACACAGCCCAGACCATCTGTCCGTGGGTGGGGTTCTGTAGCCCGTGGATGGGGTTCTGTAGCCCGTGGATGGGGTTCTGCAGCCCGTGGGTGGGGTTCTGCAGCCCGTGGGTGGGGTTCTGCAGCCGGGAGGGGGTTCTGCAGCCCGTGGATGGGGTTCTGTAGCCGTGGATGGGTGTTCTGTTAGGCCCAGGGGGTGGAGGCCAATAAACACTCCTATGAGATCTGGATGATCACGTCAACGTTCCTGCCTTTGCATGTTATCCACTCTGATGTTCTGCCTTTGGCTGTTACCAACCCTTATGTATGCCTTTGGCATGTTACCAACTCCTTCTGTTGCTGCCTTTGGCATGTTACCAACTCCTTCTGTTCCTGCCTTTGGCATGTTTACCAACCCTTATGTTGTCCTTGGATGTACCAACTCCTTCTGTGTCCAGGGCCTTGGCATGTTACCAACTCCTTCTGTTGCTGCCTTTGGCATGTTACCAACTCCTTCTGTTCCTGCCTTTGGCATGTTACCAACTCCTTTGGCATGTTACCAACTCCTTTACAGCACCGCAACACTCCCTTTGTATTCAGAGTTAGAAGGGTCGCGCGATCTTCAACTTAGCTTAATTCGTATCATTTAGTTGTTATGAAGCCTTGTTAGTTATTAGTTGGCTCAAACTACATTATCTTATTATTATTATGTACTCCCTTAGAAGGTAGACTCAGCAATATGGCGTCATTCTAAACAGCGGGTAATTTCCTGCTCACAACAACATCATTCAGTTCTGCCAATACTGGCTCTGTTGGCTCTTCATCAATGTGTGGTCCTCACTGGAGGCATGTCTTTGGTAATAGACACCCAGTTGGGTCAATGTGTGGTCCTCACTGGAGGCATGTCCTTGGTAATAGACACCCAGTTGGGTCATTCAGACAATGTTTATTACTTCATGCAGGAAGTCGCCCCCCCCAGTGTCTTAGGATGTTATATTGCCTAGTCTACCATAGATGTGGTTGTTTTGACCTATCTTAGTTAAATGCACTGTAAGCCACTCTGAATAAGAGTGTCGCTAAATTGTAATTGTCAGTCAGCCAAAGCCTGAGTTCAGATGTTAATGGTTTTATATTAGAATCTATCTGACCTTTTAACCCTTCCACTCTGACCCCCTCCACCAGGCGGTAAGGGTCTGCTGGACGTGCAGCCCCACTGGGTGTCAGCTCTGGCCTGGCCGGAGGGGGAAGCCGTGTCCCTGTGGTGTGGGGAACCCAAAGATGTGCTGCTGGTGGGACGTATGGATGGATCCCTGGGCCTGATAGAGGTCCATGACGCCTGCACCATGCACCGCACGGAGCTGGAGCACTGCTACAGGAAAGGTGGTATGTAGTCTGGAGGGTGGATTGGCAGGTCCCCAGTTTTCACATAAACGTGAGAAGTGTGTGTCTCTTGTGTTGTTGATCGTATGCTTTTACTTCAAGGCAATACGCTGATCTGAAATCATCTTCATTTGTGACTATCCTGATCAGATGTTTGATCAGACGCTGATCTGAAGTCATCTTCATTTGTGACTATCCTGATCAGATGTTTGATCAGACACTGATCTGAAATCATCTTCATTTGTGACTATCCTGATCAGATGTTTGACCGTTTTGATATATTTTGTGTGCATGACGACAATATTATGTAGGTATTCCATGATCTGAACTTGGTTGTTTTTCTGTTGCAGTGGCTGTGATGAACATAGCCTGGTACAGCGAGGACAGGCCGTTCGCTGTGGGCTACGCTGACGGGAAGCTGCTGATTGGAACCAAAGAGCCTCTGGAGAAAGGAGCCATCGTGGTCATAGATGCCCATAAGGTCAACACCATCTCTATATAACATACTATACACAGCAAGACAGTATTCCAAAGTTTCCTAGAAGCTAACACAGATAGATGCTTGTTAGTTGTAGAGAATTTCTCTATCCATTAATCTTTCCTGACTTTCATTGTTGTAGGAATCAACGTGAGTGAGACAAAAAGTCCATAAGTCCATACATTTATTAGAACCTAGACTTTCTGGCCCAGTGTCAGAGTTTTTTGCTCTGTAGCGTAAACACACCGCTGGGACAAAACACCACATAGAAACTAACACATCGTCTATTGATGGTCCTATACCTTAGGTAAAAGTTTTTAGTCTCTGTCCCCCTCCTGTGTATCTCGTATAGTACTAGGTCACTAGATATATTCATGTTTTTAGTCTCTGTCCCCCTCCTGTGTATCTCGTATAGTACTAGGTCACTAGATATCTTCATGTTTTTAGTCTCTGTCCCCCTCCTGTGTATCTCGTATAGTACTAGGTCACTAGATATCTTCATGTTTTTAGTGTCTGTCCCCTCCTGTGTATCTCGTATAGTACTAGGTCACTAAATATCTTCATGTTTTTAGTCTCTGTCCCCTCCTGTGTATCTCGTATAGTACTAGGTCACTAGATATCTTCATGTTTTTAGTCTCTGTCCCCTCCTGTGTATCTCGTATAGTACTAGGTCACTAGATATCTTAATGTTTTTAGTCTCTGTCCCCTCCTGTGTATCTCGTATAGTACTAGGTCACTAGATATCTTAATGTTTTTAGTCTCTGTCCCCTCCTGTGTATCTCGTATAGTACTAGGTCACTAGATATCTTCATGTTTTTAGTGTCTGTCCCCTCCTGTGTATCTCGTATAGTACTAGGTCACTAAATATCTTCATGTTTTTAGTCTCTGTTCCCTCCTGTGTATCTCGTATAGTACTAGGTCACTAGATATCTTCATGTTTTTAGTCTCTGTCCCCCTCCTGTGTATCTCGTATAGTACTAGGTCACTAGATAACTTAATGTTTTTAGTCTCTGTCCCCTCCTGTGTATCTCGTATAGTACTAGGTCACTAGATATCTTAATGTTTTTAGTCTCTGTCCCCTCCTGTGTATCTCGTATAGTACTAGGTCACTAGATATCTTCATGTTTTTAGTCTCTGTCCCCCTCCTGTGTATCTCGTATAGTACTAGGTCACTAGATATCTTCATGTTTTTAGTCTCTGTCCCCCTCCTGTGTATCTCGTATAGTACTAGGTCACTAGATATCTTCATGTTTTATTATTAAAACCTGGTTATTTTAATGGTTCCTCACAATGTAAAGAGCTGTGGGTTTTCTGTCTGTAAATGAAAAGCGCTCTACAAATGCTATTGATTTGTATTATGATTATTATTAGTAGTAGTAGTATTATTGATTATTATTGTTATTTTGATTATAATTATTATTTGTATTAATATTAGTAGTAGTAGTAGTATTAGTAGTATTATTGATTATTGTTATTATGATTATTAGTATTATGATTATTATTTGTATTAGTATTAGTATTGTTATTATGATTATTTATAATATTATGATTATTAGTAGTATGAATGCTATTATTATTATGATGATGATGATGATGATGATGATGATTATTATTATGATGATGTGTGTCTCTCCCAGGAGTCCATCACCAGTATGAAGTGGGATCCTAGTGGTCAGATGCTGTTGACCTGTGCCAAAGAGGAGGTGGTGAAGCTATGGTCCAGCCCTGGGTCCGGGTCCAGCCCTGGGTCCGGGTCCAGCCCTGGGTCCGGGTCCAGCCCTGGGTCCGGGTCCAGCCCTGGGTCCGGGTCCAGCCCTGGAGCAGCCTGGAAGTGCCTACAGATCCTAACCCACCCTGCCCAGGTCAATGGAGTGGCCTGGTGTGGCCTGGCTGGACACGGAGCCAGACCTCTCAACATGCTGGCCACGTACGTAGAGTATTCAACCGGACTGGACTGTATTGATATTCATGAATTACGTTTTAGTCAAGTATGGAACTGAACTGGACTGTAGTGGACTATATATATCTTTAGTGGACTATAGATGTATTTAGTGGACTATAGTTGTCTTTAGTGGACTATAGATGTCTTTAGTGGACTATATATATCTTTAGTGGACTATAGATGTCTTTAGTGGACTATAGATGTCTTTAGTGGACTATATATGTCTTTAGTGGACTATAGATGTCTTTAGTGGACTATAGATGTCTTTAGTGGACTATATATGTCTTTAGTGGACTATATATGTCTTTAGTGGACTATAGATGTCTTTAGTGGACTATATATGTCTTTGGTGGACTATAGATGTCTTTAGTGGACTATAGATGTCTTTAGTGGACTATATATGTATTTTGTGGACTATAGATGTCTTTAGTGGACTATATATGTCTTTAGTGGACTATAGATGTCTTTAGTGGACTATAGTTGTCTTTAGTGGACTATAGATGTCTTTAGTGGACTATATATATCTTTAGTGGACTATAGTGGTCCTCTGTAGCTCCTCTGTAGCTCAGCTGGTAGAGCACGGCGCTTGTAACGCCAAGGTAGTGGGTTCGATCCCCGGGACCACCCATACACAAAAAAAAAAAAAATGTATGCACGCATGACTGTAAGTCGCTTTGGATAAAAGCGTCTGCTAAATGGCATATTATTATTATTATTATTATTAGATGTCTTTAGTGGACTATAGATGTATTTGGTGGACTATAGATGTCTTTAGTGGACTATATATATCTTTAGTGGACTATAGATGTCTTTAGTGGACTATAGATGTCTTTAGTGGACTATAGATGTCTTTAGTGGACTATAGATGTCTTTGGTGGACTATAGATGTCTTTAGTGGACTATATATATCTTTAGTGGACTATAGATGTCTTTAGTGGACTATAGATGTCTTTAGTGGACTATAGGTGTCTTTAGTGGACTATAGATGTCTTTAGTGGACTATATATATCTTTAGTGGACTATAGATGTCTTTAGTGGACTATAGGTGTCTTTAGTGGACTATAGGTGTCTTTAGTGGACTATAGATGTCTTTAGTGGACTATATATATCTTTAGTGGACTATAGATGTCTTTAGTGGACTATAGATGTCTTTAGTGGACTATAGATGTCTTTAGTGGACTATAGATGTCTTTGGTGGACTATAGATGTCTTTAGTGGACTATATATATCTTTAGTGGACTATAGATGTCTTTAGTGGACTATAGATGTCTTTAGTGGACTATAGGTGTCTTTAGTGGACTATAGATGTCTTTAGTGGACTATATATATCTTTAGTGGACTATAGATGTCTTTAGTGGACTATAGATGTCTTTAGTGGACTATAGATGTCTTTAGTGGACTGTACGATGCTGAATTCTACTCCCACTTACTCAGCCAGTCCACTTAGCCAGGTCAGGCAGACAGACAGACAGGTCAGGCAGACAGACAGGTCAGCCAGTCCACTTAGCCAGGTCAGGCAGACAGACAGACAGGTCAGCCAGTCCACTTAGCCAGGTCAGGCAGACAGACAGACAGTAGAAATGTGCAGTAGTGCTGTGTTTAATCAGACTGTCAGCCCACAACCATTCATAATCAGTGTTATATCCCTGACCTTGTTGCGTTCAGCGCTCTGTGGTCAGGTTGAACAGTCTCTGTACCAGTGTGGATAACTGACATTTTAGGGAGGTTTTGACATTCTCACACTCGGATACTTCCACAAGGCTAACCTTCTCGCTCCTCAGTTCTAATCTGGTACTGCTTGAATGCGAGGACACTCTGTTTTTCCAGAAAGAGGAATAAAAATAGAATCGAATTGAAAAGAAAGTGTGGATATCTACATTTTCTTAGGCTCTGCTTCCACAAGGTCTCCCAATGTCCCCACAGGTATAGTAATACAAACACACACATTTGTAAGAGCGCTATTTAACAGGAGGTTGCGTTTGTTATTCCAGGTGTTGCCAAAACGGACTGGTGTCAGTCTGGACTGTGCCTCAAGACGCCTCTGCCTTCCCAGAATCCACCTCTTCTGGCTCTGAGGGCTGGAGGGATAACGAACCCAAAGCCAAACGCAAGGTATGATAACTCGGTAGTAGGTAGAAGTGTCTTCCTAACCACTGGTTCAGGGTCAGATATTGTTTAGCCCTACTAATGGAGAAGGTTGGAATTGGATTAGACTAGATCTGTGGTTAGGGGGGGAAACTTCTACCCCTAAGTGTTTAATCGGTACAAATTCTAAACTGTATCCAGATTTGATCAGTTGTGTCAGGTACAGCTTTTCAAAAGCTAATATTTTCCTCCTCACCCAATTTTGTGTGTGTGTGTGTGTGTGTGTGTGTGTGTGTGTGTGTGTGTGTGTGTGTGTGTGTGTGTGTGTGTGTGTGTGTGTGTGTGTGTGTGTGTGTGTGCACGTGCGTGCCCCAGCAGCAGAGGTCCAGTAGGCGTGGTGAGGGGGCGGTGTATGTCTTCCAGCTGAAGGGTCATATCACCCCCGTCAGGACAGTAGCCTTCAGCCCAGACGGCCTGGCTCTGGTGTCTGGAGGGGTGGGAGGCCTCATGAACATCTGGTCCCTACGGGTGAGGACACACACGGACACACACGATACACAAGCAGAGACCAATGCAGATGCACACACACACAGAGGAAACAGTG